GCCCGATTGCGCCAAAAATAATTCAACCAGACCACGATCGGCAGTAGTTCGTACCAACGGAAAGGTGACGCCTGATGTACAAGGACACTTGCAGTCTTATTCTGATGCCGCTATGGAATTGTTACAACCGGATCACTAATTATATTTCTTCATGAGGTATTCTCATGTCAAATGATCGAGGTGCATGACACATTCCAAGATACATTTACTTTTGAGGTCGAGATGGAGTCTTTTCGGTCACGCCACAATCGATCAGACATTTACTATCCCGAAAACCGAGATCTTAATATCGACGGCTCAGGGCTGGTCGATTTGAGACGCTCGCTGGAAGCTCCATACAAGCTTGCCATATTGTGGGTCGATTTCTTAACACATTTGTTCTCGGCAATCGCGGAAACTGGTAACGTTCAATGGCAAATATTAAGACGAACATTGGGCCAAAAGATGGATGAGCAAGACCAAGCCCGCTTTCTTACGAGATCGGGCACAGGCCCAAGCAAATTATTCGGTGTTCGCCAATTACTGACAATAACGGTGAGGAGCTGGTTCAGTCAGCTAATTATATCTACTTGTCGCACATGAAAAAGGTGCTGAAAGGTTTTCTGATGCAGTACGCTCGATACGATGTGTCGATGGCCAGGCAATATTTTCACGCTTTAAAGAAATTAGATAAAGATCCTTTGGTGTACCAATACCTTTTAGACATCGTTCTCAACATGTGTAGAATTGTATTGTGACACTATTCGATCGCGATCTAGATAAGCAACTACCACTGTTGCGGACGATATGGATGAACATCAACGCTTGCACCCTATGCACTCGACAAAGCGTTTTAAAATTAATATAAGTGACACGAGTGCTACGGTGTGGTAGACGAGAGGCGCCTCCAGAGTCGCGTGGGAGTCTGCTTTCTACAGCGCATTGTATCTAATGATAAACACAACGCTTATTTTTTTGATAACTCATTGACGTACGACAACGTCGACGACCATCGGCTATGAGCAACAACGCGTCGATCAAGATTTAAATCTTTGCAGACGGCAAGATGGAGATCGAGCTCACGGACGATTCCAGCGCTTAACAGCTGCTAGACCAGGGCTACCGCGACGTGGCGAAGCTCATCTTCCGCCCCCAACGGGCGCGTAACGAAGATCATGAGCTCGAAATCGAGCGCTCTCTCATCGCGATGCTCGTGCCCGATCTAGAGTAGAGCAGACGCCTCACGCTGGAGACGAGGCGTCGAAACTTTATGGTCTTGAACGAGCGCGGGCTACTCGTGAGCTGCTCGCACTGGCATCATTTTCAGCGTCCGCATCATAGCTCAAACAGCAGCTTAAGCAGCAGCACGAGGCGTGAGGTCGTCACTGGCTGTCACGTCTTCTTTTGTATGAATGCACATACACATTTCGTGCAGCAGCGACTACAGTAAGTGCAGAGACCGCGTTCTGACTGCTGATGCTATGAATACCGGTACGACGACGGCCTCCGACCGAGTGCCATCAATAAGATACGTGTATGGTGTCGTATAGAGCCCACATGCCAAGATACGAGGCCCCGCTTTGTCGCTCGCATTACTCCAATGACTACTTGGAGCACCAACGCAGCGCGCCTGTGCTGAAGAACCAGCACTACCTTAGTACTTTCAGTTTCCCAATCATCGTGTCTTCAGACTTTGTAAACAAGTTAAAAGGTCGCGTTAAAGTGTTAAAGCACTGGGTATTGAGCGTCGCGATGCGGTGCCGCTAGCACCTAGGCTTTAACTGGTGCGCTCTATCGCAGTAATGGCTTTCGGTGTCGGATACAAGAGTGCAACTTTGAATAGATCAAACTCCAAGTAAGCTGCGCGCCGAAAGCGAAATTTTTTCGACGCCGATCTTATCACGCAAGTGTAATACGGCATCGTCACTGTCCTAGTCACCGGTTATTCGTCACAGTAGTAGAGAATTCTCATTTCCGGTGATAGCTCTTACTGCAACGTACGACATCAAATTCTTACGTGTTTGCATGATAACGCGAGATCTAGGGACGTCAATCTTAAAATCTGGATTGCCTTTCGGGTCTCCATGACAATGCAAGAATATCTATCAAGCGGTTTTCCAGCCCTGCCTTCGTTAAAATGCAAGATGGATACACTACTTATCCATTGCAGACACAAAGCCCACGCACAGTCGTCGCGCTGAATGCAGCCCTAGACATACTCTAGATTTGCATTATCAGACTGTAGAAACCTCAATAATGCATTCACAGCTGTCGCTCTGGATCGCTTGTAGTTTCCAGGCTGCAGATCAACCAAACTCATTTGAAATCACTCGACACGCAAATATGCAAATGATACACTCGTGAATTGGGTTTTACATTGACAGATACACATGTAGATCAACCAAGCTCATCTGAAGTCGGACATTACGCAAATATGTTGATGATGTAGCCGTGACTTAGGTTTTGTAGTGACGTATACATATTTGGAGCTGTCCTCCGACCAAGTACGTCGGAACGGCCGGCGTACTGTACTTCCCTACCCCTACAGTTTTTAATTGATCCAAGACATGTAAATGTACTCTGTAATTGGATGAAAATACGTTGCTTTAATTTTTTTCGCTCTTCCGTCGTTTACAAGAAGTAAGTCAGGTCGGAGAAGCGACGATATTCATCCATAGCTCGTTATAGTAGGCGTTGATGCGTTTTGTGTCGTGTGTCGTGTTTGTGATTCGCCCCGCAAGTTAGGGTGCGAGTGGGCGTATTGGCCGACTGCCTGAAGACGATGTACACCGTTTAAAATGTTGGGTAATTCATGTTTAATACATGATTGGTACAATGTACCAGATGTGTACCCATCGTACGATACGTCGGAGGATCGGACTTTTCATGGTATGGCTTCTATTGAAGGTTTTCACGGGTCCGATTGACTAGATGATATGAGCTGAACAAACGTTATTTCATGAAAGTACATCAATACAGTTTAAGAATTTAGAGACCTTCAAATCCAATAACTTGTTTAATGTGTGGGTTGAAGGCTCATTAGCGAAAACTGAAGGCTCATTAGCGGCTCTAAAGAATATGCAATGTAAAGTTATCGATTATCGAGACGCACAATGATAACTTTATTGAAACGGGCTCCCCCGTTGCATTTCCCTTGACTAACTTGGTAAATTTAGCCACGTGTTCCTTATTTGCACCTTATGGTCCTTTGGTCGATAAATTTTGGTTCGAATAGTAGCTGGTACTTGTTGTAGTTACATTTAGATATACGTTTTAACATATCAAAAACTTTGAACCTCTGAGTCTACCTCTACTTATACGGTCCTTGCTTAGTCAGCCCCCAGGACCGCAACCACGAAGGGCGATGCTTAGTGGTGAAAATGTCCGCTGCAGCTTTTCCGTTTGCCTAAGGACTTGAGTCGAAGACAGAAAGCTTAACCCTTTATCAAACACACAATTGCAGAAACGGATACAACCATGCTTTCTATCGGTGCTTGCGGTTCATGAGGTTTTATCGATCAAAGAAGGGTCTGTTTTGGGCCGCGCTGCACCATTGCCGACGCAGACTTACCATCCTTTGTTAGTGCATAAGTGATACGATCGAAGTTGATCCACGGCTAGAGTTGACAGCGCGTCCGTAGTCTCGATCCTCCATACCATGCAGAACGTTTGGCATGAATAGATTCTCTGCTGTATCAAACGTAGGATCGTACCGAATGCATCAAGTTGTGGCTGTACTAATGTTGTTCCTGCTGTCTAAATCAACCAGATTGTCGACATTAGCACGGCCGCAAGGAGGTCAAATAACTTGTAGCAAATCGTCCCAGCGGTAGAGCGTATCCGACAAGTTTGTGTGCACGCCTAGATCTGTGCTGCCTCTGTCGTGTCACATAAGCTAAGTGGAGTCCATTAGGCAGCTTACACAAGTACGTAGACTGGTCGATGAAAAACACGTACGAAGCGACGGCGCTACCTAACGGGCGCTCAAGAGACACTCTTGCCCACTACCCCTCTGCCCCCTGGCACCAATCAGCTGCAGCTGCGACAAAACCACCTTCGGCCGCTCGTCCACTCGAGAGCGGAACATCCGGGACCGGCTCCTCGAGAGCTCTAGAGAGCCCTTCCCAGCCCCTCGTCCTTACAACACTCGTCGTAGCGTCGCACCGACGAGCGCCTATCCCCAAGGCGACATGTAACACACGACCCCCGCTACTACTACTGCTACTACTACTACTACTACCACTCACGCTGTGGAAGCTCTCGGGCTCGAACGGAATTCATAGTCGCCGCTCATGCCCCTCCCTGTCGCTACCACACACCCTCCTTTCCCTTTGCCAAGTCGTGCACACGTGTTCGTTCACGAGCAAAACTCGTTGCAACGCTCACGAGGCACAACGCAACCGAAAAGAAAGAAAGAGAGAGGAGAGAGAGAGAGAGAGAGAGAGAGAGAGAGAGAGAGAGAGAGAGAGAGAGAGAGAAAGCCGTCGGGACATCGCAGCAGCAGTCGAAGCTACACACCCCCACACACCCACACACCCCCACACACCCACACACCCACACACCCCCACACCCCCACACACCCACACCAGCGCTTGCAACCGCTTGCAACCCGTCCAAAGTCGGGTGCGCTCCCACCCACTCACTCGGTCCATCGTGTCGTCCCTCGATCCGCTTCCACGAACAATCCCACAACACCGTCGGCCCCGCGCTGACTCTGTCGGCAGAGCCGGGCCACTCCGATTCGATTGGCTCGCCAGACCGTGACTGCACCGCGCGCATTGGTGCATAATCGTCGCCCGCGCGCCCCCCTCTCGCTCTCTGTCCGCACGCGCCGCAGCCGACCAGTCGCCGTTTCCGCCCCGCCGCGTGAGGAGCAACTTGCGCCCTAACGCCCTCCGCGCCGTCGCCGTCGCTTCTCTCTCTCTCTCTGCGCGCGGCGCTGCTCGTCGTTGACGCGCGCCTCATTCCCTCTGCTCTCTGCCCTCTCTCTCTCTCTCTCTGCCGCGCGCGCGCGTGCGTCCATGGGCCGCAACCTCTTTGACTTTAGCATCGCCAACAGCAGCAACAAGTTCTTTAGCGGCAAGAGCCTCCACGACGGCGGCGACGCGCACCACGACCCGCGCCCCGACCACGCGCTGTTCGACGCGTCGCTCTGCAGCACCGCCAGCTCCTCGGCCGAGTCGCAGTTCGCCCACCACTTGTCGGCCGCCGCGCAGGGCCCACCGCCGCCGCTCGACATGGGCGACGCCGCGACGCACCGCACCCGCTCGGGCGACCACAGCAGCCGCGGCGACCGCCGGCCACTGGCGTTCTCGACAGCAGCCGCCAGTGCCAACGCCATGTCGGCGCTCACGGGACTCCATCAGTACCACCCACAGCTGCAACAGCAGCAGCAACAGCAGTGCAGCTCAGCAGCTTCAGGCAGCGCCGCCTGCAGTGGGCGCAGCAGGACACGCGTCCGTGGCGCTCGAGTCGCGCGCGAGCAAGCGGTGCTCTGTCTGCGGCAAGGGCTTCAACCCGCTGCGCCGCCGCCACTACTGCCGCACGTGTACGGCCGTGGTCTGCAGCTCGTGCAGCATCTCGCGCAAGGTCGAGAGCACGTTCGAAGGCGCGATCACTGTGCGCATGTGCGTGAGCTGCAAACTGAGCTCCATCGCGTCGCAGGACGACTTTTACGACCGCATCTTCTCCGCCAATGACAATGGCGGGAGCGTCAACCCGCTCGGTGTCACGACGTCCGACTCGCAGCTGAGCGTGAGTGACAATGGCGACTTTACGGCAACGGACCGACTGAGCTTTGCCTCGTACTCGTCCGCGACGGGCGGGAAACACGGCAGCAGTGGCGCCAAAGACGACGGAGCGGCTATGGGCGGCAGCACGAGCACTACCAGCAGCAGCAGCAGCTCGCAGCTCACGGACGCGCAGACACTGGTCGACAAGCAGCGGGCAACGAGCTCGTCGAATCTCGTCGTGCGTCGCAAATCGAGCACGTCAAGGGGCACGGGCCACGCGACGGCAGCAACAGCGGGAGCAGCAGCGGCAGGGCCAGGCACGCGCGGCCGTCACGGGTCGTTTACGGCTTCTCACGTGGTCACGGAAGACTGTCCGTGGTGCATGAACGAGGCCTGTGCACCACTGCACGAGTACTTTGAAGTGCCGTACCCGTTTTTCCTCGAACTCGCAGACCCAGCGGCCAAGAACCAGTACATTGCAGCGAAGCACTTGGACAATGAGAAGAATCGGCTGCGGTCCGTGCGGACGATCCGGGGCGCGCTCAAGACGAGTCCGTCGGTGCTGCAGACGATCCTGCAGCTCTGTAACATGGCGTCGATCGCGACGTCGAGTCCCATGGCGCTGGTCGGCCTGCTCGACAAGCACATGTACGTGCCGTGCGCAGAGACGGGTCTGGGAACGCTCGACAAGATTGACCGGCAAAAGAGTTTGGCGGCCCATGCGTGTCGAAATGGCTCGCCGCTTGTCTGCAGCAACTTGAATCGCGACGTGCGGTTTGCCGCCAACCCATGGCGACGAGACGTGCTTCAGGCGCAGTTTTACGCGGGCATTCCGCTGACGCTGTCGAACGGCCACACGATTGGAGCAATTGAAGTGTTTGATGTGTCTCCGCGATTCGCCTGCATGGATGTCATTTCGCAGCTGCAGACGGTCGTGCGCGGCCTTTTGCGCAAGTTTGAGGAGATTTTGGTGAAACGAGCTGCGGCAGGAGATGAAGGGATCGCGCACGACCCGTCGTCGTTGCCGGGACGGCGGACACCGATGAGCGAGTGCGTTGAAGGCAAGTACCGCCATTCTCGAGCTCCAGCGCCTAGTGCTCCAGGTGCGCCGGCGATTCCGCCGCCAAAGAAGTCACTTATGTCGCCACCACAGGCGCTTTGCCACAGACCGCCAGGACCGACAGATCATGCATCCAAACCTGCTGCATCGAACGAACCAGCTCAGAACTCTGCGAATGGTCTCTCAGCAGCAGCAGCAGCAGCACCATCAGCTTCGACTCCGGCAGAGACATCACTTCAGGCAGCAATAGGCGGCGAGTCCAACCAAGACGAAATGGAGATGCGGCTTTTGCAGTTGCTGTCGCAAAGCACTACCACACAGGAACAGCTGCGCAATCAGCAGGGTCAGATGGTCAACGCGATAAGCAGCCACTCCAAGCAGATCACCGACCTGGCAAGACAGCTCGAGCGCATGGAATCGACTCTTGCTGCCAAGCTTGGCGTGGACGACGATGACGACGACGACGACGACTCGTCATTAAACGAGGATGAGGCAAGTGCATAGAGAGGGCTCTGCGCATGTAGTTGCCCAGGTAGTGAATTAATGCTCGCGGCGTCTTAGCAGCGCGCCGTGGAGCAAGTAACGTAGGTCTTGTGCATGCTCGCTCCGGTTCACACGCCGTCGGTCTTGTGGTTCACTCGTGTCTACGTAGTTGTTAGTTGAGCAGCAGAAGACGGCCGAGCACGAGAGTTAGTGATAACGTATTGACCGCTGGCTCTACAGTTTTGGTACGAAAGTTCTCTGCTCAGGTAGTGCTGTGCTGTTCCCGAGCTGATCGTGTACTAGACAGTGTCCCACGTGGCTGCTGCCAATGTGGCGTATCTTCGCCGCAAAGACATGACCAGCATGTTGATATGCATTCGATGGCTATCGACAGCGCCAATTCTTCCGTGTGACGCGTGCGGAGCTGGTCTTGTGTGGTCACAACCTACGCACAAAGGTCGCTGCAAACAGTTTTTGGACAACAGGCTGCTTTCGCCTTGCCCGGCTCTGGCTGCGCTTCTACAACTGCAGATATGCTCACGTCCGATACGATGACCGTCGATACTGTCAGCTTGAGATCAACACATCTGCAACTTGGAAGACAGTAGTGCAGATGAATTCCCACCGCGCCATCCACATTCTGCCTCCTTGACAAAGCTGGCGCTCGAGCCGAACGTGCAACTGATGCCGACATGATAGTTACTGCTGCTTTTACGAATGAACCGTCGCTTGTCTGTAGCAATCAATACCTGGATCACGCTGCAATTGGTTTGTACATCAACTCGGTATGGCAACGATAACGACCCCTTTGCAACATGTTGAACCCTTTCGTACACACGGCTACTCGAACTCATTTTCTGCGTCCTTTTGCTGTCCAATGCAACGCGTAGACATATACTGGAAACAATGCTGACAGACGCAAGGGAAGCCGTAAGAGCTACAATAAGACTTCCAATGTATCGCCCACGCCTGCGCGGTCCGGCAAATGCATAAAGCAAGCGACGTCAAGCCGTGTGTGATATGCATAAGAATATCTTCTTCGTTGTCACGCTCAACGGTGGCGACGGGTAGGTGCGGCTCGCTACCCCTGTAGACTCACTCATGATACTTCTGCCGCGAATTCTACACTACGAGTTGACGATAGAGTTTGGTGGCCAAAACTAGGTCAAATGTGAATGAACAAGTCACATGAACGTCGCAGTAGAATATTTGTAGCACGATGTGCTGTCAAGTCGGTGTGGGTGCGAAGCTGACTGATATGTGATAATGCCCAACGATGACCTCGACTGTCCGCCTAATTCGTACAGCAAACACAGCGACGACAAGAAGGAGGATTCAGCTTATATGGCGTGGGAAGGTCAGCATGATTTTGTTGTGTCATCAGGTGAAGATGGAAGCAGAGGGCCTTCGCTCTTCCGGAGTGATTAGACGTCACATCCAGATGAAGTCGCGTCAGAGTGTGTCTGGAAGAGTCACCAGATAGGGGAAGCGGCGCCACCTCTTTACATACAAGGGCACGTGCAGTCGGTGTGACTGCCGACGCCATGCAAATGTCGAAATGACCATCGGGAAATTGCATCTACTTGGACGTATGCAAATGTCTGTAGGCATGTCAGGATATAGATGATTGGAATTCGTTTAACCTGACATACATATGTCATGCTCTAGTAGAAGCAACGGTTAAGAGTCCACTACTGCTGGAAATGCAACACGAATTGCAGTGCTTTTGGCTTTGTCGAACCGCAGCTTCACCTTCCGCGTTAGCATCATCGAACAAACAGCACATGTACTGCTATCAATAAGAACCTCTTCGAAGCGCCACCGTGTTTTGCAGCTCGGACCATCTCTTCTCTTGGTCGATAACGTTCCTCAATATACCTCACCCTCAACCACAAGTAGACTGAACTGTATTTCTTTCTTACTTTGTGCAACAATTGCGGATCTTGCACTGGCAACTCATGCAAAGCAACGTCACGGATGGAGCAAACTTGTGTCGTTCTCATTGTCGGCATTGAAGAAGAACAATGCTCGTCATCGTTTACTTACCGATAGGTCAAAGAAGGCAGCAATTCGTCCCGCCATTGTCACTTGTCTCAGGCCTAATGAGTCAAAAGCATGCAGGATACCTACTTTCCAACAACACTCAATCGAGCGATTCCGTACTTAACCGATGCGATTGGCTGTCCACTCCCCCCCCCGTTCTTAAATCACAAACACTGCAGCATACGGCGTCATGAATTTCGGGGGTCTACTCAACGGCGGCGCAGCTTCAGGCGGCCCGCCGCAGCCGTCGCAGCAGTCGCAGCTCATGATGGCCAAAGTTGAGATGGCCTCGTACGCCGACCTCTTCGAGCGCTTATCGCGCGTGTGCTTCCAGAAGTGCAAGTTCAAGTACAACGACGGCCAGCTCAACGTGGGCGAGATGAGCTGCATTGACCGCTGTGCTGGCAAGTACATGGAAGCCTACAGCTCGCTGGGCGTCAAGATGGCACAAGTGGAGAAGGAAATCATGGACCAGGCGGGTGCTAACGTGCTGCAATAGACGACCACTGAGCGCAAGACAGGGACGACGACACGGCTCAGCCTTTTTCTTTCGGACCAGGAGGGCTTATGCAGTTTACAGCAGGCGTTGAGCGATATTTTTATTCGTGCGATCCGATCGTGTAGCTTCGTACTGCTTTCCTCTTCCTCAGTAACTTTATCAAGTCGACGTACGATTTGCCTTCGTTTGTCCCCCGTCGTAGCTATCGAGTGATGTTTTCATGTGGCGAGCAGCTCGGCCTTCTTCTTCTTTTTCGTTCTTGCGTCTATCCTGTTACCCGCGTGCTCACCTCCTCTCGCTTCGTCAGGATAACAACCGCACCGATTTTGCTGTTATCTCGTGGATGCACTTCCACTCCGTCGCTGGACGAGAGATAAGTACCAACGCGAGTTCCGTCAACTCCAACTGCCAGTCGCTTGTAAGAACAGCGGAGCTTTGTGCAAGGCTTCACCATCGAAACTCGGTTACGAGATCGGTAGCATCCTGCTACGAAGTCGCATGGACCTACGGCTTGGCAAGAGCTGTGGGGTACGAGCGTTCCACACCTCACGCCAGTTTGTTGACCGTGCTGCAAGCTACGTGACTGAATGCCGTGTAAGATGCGCAAGATCTGTAAACATCAGACAGACGTTATACGGTCCGTCGCTCTGGTTGCTGTCTGAACTCACCATCACCGGTAAATTTGTCAGCCATAGTGCGCGGTCAACGCGTGGTATGCGCGCGTCAGTGATCGTAGGGCCACTTCGGAAGCTTGCCACCAAGGATCGACAAGGTGACAGTGAACGGCGACTGAAACCGAATCGACTTGGTCAGTCGAAATGTGCAAGTCTGACGATGTCGCACATGCCAGGGTGCTCCGGGGCACGGATGGTGTCTCGATCACAAAGTATGTTGCGCATGAGTGAGGTGTGTTGCAGCTACGTACTTCGTATTCGAGATGGGTCAGTCGCGTCTCTACTTGGTATAGTACACCTTGCACCTCTTGCAGCTTCACGCAAACTTGAGCCCATCGTTTGCACGAAACAGCCACTTTGTCAACAAAGTGACGGTGGCAAAGCTCCTCGATCCATTTATTGCAGACGTGGATACGCAGTTTAGGATTACGACTGCAGTTCTCAGCAATGGAAGCCAACGTCGCCGAGAAACGTACTTTTTGTTCGCGCAATCGCATGTACTCTTCTTACTCCAAGCGCTTTACCGTTGATCCGCTCCATCGCTATCGATCTGCCACTTATACATCCACATGCTCACACAAACTGCAGCCAATCCACCAAAACAAATTCCCCCGCGCGTATCTGCTGTGGCTCAGCGGTTGACAAACTCGAATTCGCACGCACTCGATGATCTCATCCAGCCACTCTTTCGATCAATGACCGACCAATCGCAGTCGACTCGTTGACGTTCTACCGTCACATGTCCTAATTCTGCAGTGTTCGACGCCGAGTCCGCTTTTGTACCGTTTGTTTACTGGCAACTTGTACAGCGCGGGAGTCGAGTCCACGACTTCGACAACAGAGATATGACCAGCTTGAAGTGGTGCACACCAGGCGCTATGCCTCATCTCGTTATGAGCGCAATTTACACACAGTACATTAATTAACATCCTGTATTTCCCACACATAGCGTCGATATACGTTCATCGATATGCGGCCATGGGAGGCCTTTGGGGCCGGACTGGCCGTCGTGGCCTCCATCGTCTCGAACTTGGGCGTCAATGTACAGAAGTATTCGCACTTGAGCGAAGCTGCAAGACCGGCGTACGCGCGCAGGCCGTACATTCGCTGCCCCGTGTGGTGGGTGGGCCTCGCGCTCGTCGTGCTCGGGAGCTTGGGCGACTTTGCGGCGTTTGGGTTTGCCACGCAGTCACTTGTGGCGGCGTTGGGAGGCGGCGCGACGCTCGTGGCCAATGTGGTTACTGCTCAGTGTCTCAATGGGGAAAGACTCGAGAAGGTGAGTAGGATCGGCGTGTGTCTATCTGTCTGTCTGTCTATCTGTCTGTCTGTCTATCTGTCTGTCTGTCGCGGTGCGATGTTTCCGTCGTCTTGATTTGCTTTTTTCTTGCTTTGGTTTTGGTCTTTTTTGCTTTTTTCCTTGTTTTGGTGTTTCTGTTGTAACACTTGTGTTTTTGTGTCACTCTCTTCTTGTCCGTCTTGTTCTCCAGACAGATGTTAGCGGTGTGCTGTTTGTTATCATAGGCGTCGTGATCATTGCGGGCATTGCCGAACCGAATGTCGAGTACCCGCTACCAGAACTTGAGCTGAGGTTTGTCAAAACGCGTGAGTTATTGGACCGGATACACATTGAAACGTGTGAGTGGACGGCGGACGGTGTTCTCGTAGCTGATGGAGTATTCTTTTCTTCTGTGCTGTAGCGTTCGTGGTGTACATCACTTGTGTTGGCGTTTGTGCCGTGAGTATGCTGGCAACGATCAAAGGCTCAGTAGCAAATAGGTTGAAAAACCAGGTGTACTGGTCCAATAAGCGCCAAAAGAAGCTCATGAAGGTTTGCCAACGATCAGATCGCTTTTCTGACGACCTATGTTGCCGATTTCTAAACACGTCGTGCTTGTTGTGATCTGTCTGTTTAGCAATTTGACCATCGAGTGCAGAGACTTGAGCAACGGCTTTTGGACATGGAAGTGAAGCTGCTACAAGTGAGCTCGTCGACTCCTGTGCTCCCAGTCGGTCTTGTGAATCCTCCTGCAATGAGCACAGAGCTGCGTGAGCTGATCGATTCCACCAATGCCGAGGACACAGACGCAAGTGGAGAAACGGCCGTTGGAAAGTGTATTTACAGGGTTCCTTACTACTACGCTGTGTGCTCGGGTATCGTGGGTGCGATGACAGTGCTGCTAGCAAAGTGCTCTGCCATTATGATCTCGCTCACTCTCAAGGGCGACAACCAGTTCAAGTATGGCCTGACGTACATTTTCTTGGGGGGCATGTTCGTCTGCATCCTCGTTCAGACGCATTTTCTGAACATGGCTACAGCTTCGGGAGACATCATGACCGTGTTCCCCATCTTTCAAGCTTGCTGGATCACTTTTAGTGTTGTTGGCGGTGCGGTCTTTTACCACAATGACGACGAGCCGACATCGACGACGGACAAGGTGTTCTACCCTGTGGCACTGCTTTCCATTGCAGTGGGCGTCGGGATGCTGGTGCAGCATAGCTCTTCTTCTGTGGAAAACAAGGTCAAAACGAGCGACATCGGTGACGCTCAGATGAGGTTTAACACGAGCGACGAGGATGTAGACTTGTTGCTCAGTGCGGACTCTTCGGTATGTTCACCACTGCTTACGGCAGGCATTCATGAAGATGACGGGCGCCTGCACCTAAGCGCCTAAATTACTCATGTGCATGTAGTGTTTCGGGTCATTAAAAAAGCTGTGTCGTATTGCTTGTCATGGCCCATCATCGGTCTTAGCGCATGAATGAGCTGAATCAAACAAACCCACATACGGCACCACGTACTTCCCACTATCCCAAGCAGAAACGCGGAGCGCAAGAAATACTACGCTTCTAGTCGTCACCTACAACAATGTCCGGGAAGTCGTCATCGTCGTCATCGTCCGCCTCATTTGTAGCAGTACACGCCTTCTCGATGTCAGCGCAAGCACGACCACACTCTACTGACTTGTCCTCTCCTCCTCCTCCTCGCCCTCCTCCTCCTCCTCGATCGCTACTTCTTGCATGTCAACCTCCATCGGTTCGTCTGTTGGACCTTGCGGACGGGCATCCTCGTAGTCCTCGTCCAGGTCATCGTCCACAACCGTAGACGCCCCCAATTCAGTTGACTCCTCATTTGGTCGTTCAACGTCCTCCGCGCCTCCGTCGCCACTATCGTCGTGCTCACTTCCATCCCATTCCATCGCATTATCCAAACCAGCGGTCCATGCGATCGCCTTCGGCTCAGATCGGTGGTAGCCATTGTGTTTCTGCTCCTCGCTGCTGTCCTTTTGAAAGTCAATCGTCAGAGGGGGCGCACGCGGGTGCAGCAACGCCTCGCCAACATTGAGTGCTACCGACTGAAACACCGACAAAGCTCCACCAGTACGGACAATGCGACGCTGCCAGTACTGAATGCCATAATGCAGATTAGCCGCATGTGAGCCTACAGTGTCAGCAGTCACGACGTCTGACAAAAGCGCTAGTGCCACCGGGTCAACCTCGCCATACGTTTGACCTGATCCCACCATTTGCCGATGCTGAGCCGCTTCGAGCAACAGGCCACGAAACAAGGAGCGGCAATCCTCTGGCAGCAAGCTTCCATACACGCTCACACAGCCAGCAGCAGCGGTGATCACTGTCTCAAGGGTCAGCGTGACAAAAGCTTCGTCTCGCACAGACACAAAAGCTGCCTGGCTACCAAATGTGTTCCCTCCGTTCAAAGCAGCTATAGTTGCGGCAGCAGCTGCTTGACGCTTTCGCTTCTTGCTCTTACTGCTATTGTTCTTCATGTCCATTTGTTGCGTCGCAAGTTTTACCATCAGATCATTCGCTGGCAGTTGCGTACTCGTTGCCTCGTCAAGACTGCGCTTACAACGCGTCACCAGGTCAGTTAGCAAAGGCACACCAAACTTTTCCACAGTACTTGCACCCAGACGGCGCGCACAAACCGCTGTAGCATGAGCCAAGGCCTGGAGATCTTCTGCATCGCCCACATTTTCAGACGCAAGTAAAAGAACGCGCGTGATCTTGCTCGCGTGACGCAAAGCGCACAGTCCAGTGCGGTCCACTGATGCACTCAATGCACGCAAAGCTTGGACATAAACTCGCGGAGCCATGGCGTATATAACGCTCAATGGAAGTCGTACGCCATTGTCCGATACGCCCGTATGCTTGCCCACTTCGTGCGCACGTACTGCCATGGCGCGCTGAGCGAATAACACAACTCCGGGCAGGATCTGTTGCGCCTCACGCTCAGAGACCTGTCCACGATTTTGCGTTGCAGTGCGAGCACTCAGCAGTTCGCATAATACGCTCACTGCACGGGTCATCCTGACGAGCGTCACTTCTGCTCGATGATACGTTGCCAAATGCTGACTAGCTGCTCCTTGCACCCACAACTTTTTTCCCGTCATCGCTTCGGTGAAGTACGCCGTCGAGCGCTTGCTTGCAAACAAATCAAGTTGCTGGTGCGCAGCTTCTAGCGCTTTCTGAGCCATCAGCATCCACACCTGCTGCGGCTTATCGGACGCGTTGCACAGTAACGCCAGACACGTCATTGCTTTCTCAGCCAAGATCTCATTCTGTGCGTCTCCATTTGCAGCTGGAAAGAGCGCATTCACACACGCAGACTCGATCTTCACTGCATACGTTCTCAACGAGTTGGGGGATACACGCAATAGTGCGGCAATCAGCTCCAATGCTGCAACGAATGCAAGCGCCATCTCGCTGCTCTGACGCTTGCTCAACAGAAGGGCGACCAGCGGTTGCAATAGCTTCGCCTGTTGCTCCTGCACCTCACGACGAATGTCGGGGTTATACCTGTCTGCATGCCGCAAGAGCACTTGAGCGACACCGAGCGCAGCAGCAGTGGCCTCCCATGCACCAATGTCGTCTTCCTTGCTCGACACCTGCCGCTTCAAAAGCTTCACGACGCGTTCCAGTAGCTCTGTAGCAAGCAATTCCAGTCGTGCCAGCGAACTCTGACGTGTCGTCGTCAGCAGCAGTTTCCAACCCACACAACCACAAGCACCGGGTCCGTCAATGAGCTGCAGGAGCTTTGCCTGCCACTTCGTCAAGGCTTTCCCGTCGGTCACTAGTCCAAACACGTTGTGGCGCTCGAGAGCTTCACACAGAGGCGGCAGTTGCTGCGCCAAGAACGAGCGCTGGACAGCACTGTCGCTCTCTAGATCGCACGGGAAGGCTAACGCGAGCACGGAAGACAGCAAGTTGCGCGCGAGAGCGCACTGTGCGGCGCGCATGTCCGACGCCATTGCGGTCGACCGCGTGCGAGGGATCGCGTGATGGGTTGACGATGACTGGAGCGGAGGTGCGCGGTTCTGATTGGTCGAAAACGTGCTTACACGGGGCAATAAACGAGCAATGGTGGTCTGTGCGAAATGAGCGGAGCCGCTGTGGTCGAGTGTTTGCTGCAGTTATGTGTTCTCAGCGGTCAGTTATGACGTCATTTCATCATAACGTGGTTTTGACTGCGTGCGAGTGATTTGTACATGGAAAAGGCCTCGTCTGTCGTATCTCAGCAAGTACCATAGCGGTTTACTAACATTGTTTACCTTCGCGCTGACACAAAAGAACGCACGAGTGCGGTCTCCTATGGTCTACCGGATCTGAGTTTATCAGACGTATATTGCAAGCCACCAACCGGCGGCACTGAAGTCGCAGAATAAGACGCACAGAAATTGGCGTGTATAATGCCTGATGTCTGGTTCCCGACCGAAGCCACACGACGGCTTTGCCACTCAACGTTCCGGTTGTTGCGATTGTTCTCGTGAACACGGATCGGTCTCATACAACGATAGAAACAACAGCGTTTCTGCCGACCCGGTTTCGGAGACGCATGAATCCAGGGCGTCACGGACGAGGCAGATATGGCGGGGCTTCCATTCTTGTCAGTGCTCTCAACTCCGAAAAAAATATGCAAGACCTCACAGGACAAAGCTTGTGTCGGCTCAGGGCAATGGATGCGCCCGACCTGAAAGTCTGCAAAAATACTTACAGAAGTTCCAAAGACTGGTCAACAGGTGTCCGGCAACTGTGAAACCAGAATGTCTTTACAGATTGCTATCTTGCATCATGCAATTGGAAAATGATCGCATGGGTAATGCGATAGCGGACGAAGCACATCCGGACATCGACAGCAATTGGGATAATGAGATGTCGCTTATACCATATTGTGTATTCAGATTTGGCACCATTCGCGTGTATTACTGACGAGGAACAGACACCTGATCGCTGTGTCAGCACGTGACGTTTTAATGAACAATCTAGGTTTGGCTTCCTATTCGGTGTAATGACAGTCTGCTTGATCTAGCGATTGCGGGAGTTCAGTCCCGACGCCGACCGAAAAGAAGGTCAAGGAACAACGAAGTCTCGACGATACTCCTTTTGGAAAAAAAGGTACCATAGGTCAACCACAGTTGGGAAGTGGAAGAGCTCAAGCGACTTCAAGACAGTCCCGATAGCCACAAAGGCGAAGGAAGTAGCAGAAAAATAGACAGAAGCCAGAGCGAAGCACCGGATCTTAGCAGGGCCGAGAGGGTATAGGAGGTAACACACAGTCGAGGTTCGGTCCGACAATTTTGTTGCAATTTACTTCGGTCAAGTCCCTCCAGCTTCCGCTGTTACCAGTAATGTGTAGTAATCGGTACGTTGCGTATACAAGGCATGCCATCCTAAACTGATTGTGTGTACCTTTGACATTGCGCTATAGATGGCCCATTTGCGCGTTCAGACTCTCATCGACTCAAGGCCCTTAAAAGCAAAGTCTTGACCTCATAAGCGGCTGCTACTGTCCCGAATGTGAAAGGGCGTGTGTGGATCAACATCAACCCGCTCTGTGGCATTCAACTTGGATGTTTTTGGCTTGACATGATCCTGAGACCCCGATGTCCTTATCCAAACTCGAAGGTCCGTGACGGCTTCATGACTAAGGTGAAGGTCCATTACGTGCTCATTCACAACACCCAATCAAGGTGACTGGAATACTATCAGTCCCTTCAAGCTGCTACTGTATCGAAACCATACGCATTTCTGCTGATTGCGACCAAAATGGTGATATGAGTGTTCATCTCTTGCGACTCTAATGCGGAAAGGAGCCGACTAGTCGATGAGGATGGAAATTGAACATTGCATTGTGTCAAATCCGCGAAGTAGCCCCTAATCCTCTTTCACGCTTAGACCTGTGCTGACTTCTGTATCCTAAAATGTTGGATGTCGAGGTACTGTGCAAGTGTAAACTAGTGTGCGCTTGCGGCCGATTGTGATTGCCACGATCATGACACAAATTGATACACTGAAGCCCAGGATGAAAAAAGTGGGCGTTCGTATGACTTATTGTTTCCAGCGCTATGCTACTTACATGACGCGCCAAATTGGACGTCAAGGTTTGTGCAATGCCAAGGGTTTTCTTGCTGAAAGAGATTGTATAATTTTACATGGCATCTGCACCGTTGAGGTGCTTGGAAGTTGTCTCGCATATGCGATCGTTAACGTGCTTACGAGATGTCTGTTAACGATCGAGACCGTAACGCGCTACGCTGCAACAGCGACACAGCCAGCTTCTTGACTCCACACCTCTGTGCGCTTATCAACACACGCTGTCGAAAAGTAAATATAACGAATGCGCTAGCGTCGTCACGCACAAATCAAGAGACTCTCGGTCTATCGATGGGGAATTTGCGGCAAGCAAGGCGAAGGCAAGATAACGGCATGCAGTGTGTCAGCTACGCCGCATTTTTGACGATAACGACGAGCAAATGTGACTCCCTACACTGCAAGTACAGCGCTATAGAGCACCTTGTGATAAGTAGTTGCAGTGGTTCTATTGAAGCCTATGCTTCTCAGAGAGAACATTGGTTGTCGAAAAGATCCCTGGCGCGTGTTGTTGCAAACATGTACAGTATTCTTCATAGTGGTGTCGAGTGCGAGCGGTTACGTTGTGTTCCCAGAGTGCTTTGCGTCGATACGTACCATGGATGCAAATGTGCCCGAACAGCAGCATGAGCTTCAGTACAACAGCTATAACCTTGTTGCAAGATCCGATGAGGTGACAAGCTTGTGGTTCAGGTGACAGAAAGCCGTCGACGCACACAACATGAAAGCGTTTGTTCTTGCTAGTGCGCGGTGTGGAGCTTTCAACGACGGCTTAGTTGTTCTACGCGGCCAAATTGTGGCGTGCCTGCCCGTCGAGACTCTCTTACGTTTTCGTGATGCAGTCTGTAAGGGAAACACGATAGTGACGTGAAGCAAAAACTCAATCCCACTGCAGCAATGGACACGATCATAATGCTTCGTGCAAGCGACTGCATCGGGATCGCGATCAAATTTTGCGTGTCGGGTCGGGAGAAAATGGGCACCCCAAATGACGGCTGGGTAGCTGCACCCCTAGTCCTACTTCCTCCCTTCCGTTGCCACGTTCTGATTCCATCATCGAAAAAGCTTTTTAGATCAAGCTCTCATCCACGACTTCGAAACGCAACGGTTTTTGTCTCGTCCGCCCCACCCACTCACCCACCCACCCACACCCATCATCCTCCTCCTCATCACATATACCAACCCAGCCCTAAAAACCCATCACCCATCACCCATCACCCACCAGCATCCAAACCACCCACCCACACCCACCCACACATGCGAGACGCCACGCTTGTTCCTCCTCTCGGTCCATTCCTCAAAAAGCCAGCCAGCGCACACAACGCCACACACACACACCAAAAGAACCAGTCGACCGACCGACCGACCGACCGACCGATTGACCGATTGACCGATTGACCGATTGACTGACCAAACACATTACTTTTACGCAAATCGTAACCGCCACAATGCGCGTCGCCCTTCCACTCGCTGCGGCTCTCCCCGCGCTCGTCGCCGCGCACAACGCCGCGACGCCCACGATACTGGGCGGGTGGCACGCGGCTGAAGTGACGGACGTCCACACGCAGCTGCTGGACAACGCGCTGCGCGGCAGCAGCTACGCGATCAAAGTGGGCGCCACGCGCGTGTGCTACGCCGACGTCCTGTCGCTCGAGACGCAGGTCGTCTCGGGCACCAACTACCGCTTCCACATTAGGGGCTGCGGCGTCACGAGTTCGGACGGCGAGTGCTCTACGACGACGCTGTCCACTTGTGCACCGTCCGAGTTCCTCGTGGAGGTCTACGAGGAGCCGTGGACCGAGACGCTGAGGGTCACGGGCATTCAGCCGTGGGACGAAGAAGACGGGACGAGCGACGGCGAGGCGGAGGACAGCGACTTGAAGCCGACCGGCCGTACGTAGGCAAAAGTGTCGCTGCTGACGCTCTGCCGGTCGAACAGCGACCGTCGAGCAAGAAGGGCACTGTAGCAATGCAAAGCACATTACGTTTTGGTATTGGTACACTGGTCCGACGTTGAAGTAACGGGGTTTTCTATCCTTTGTCTGTGGTGTGGGTGGGTGTGTGTGTGTGTGTATCTCTGTTTTTGCGGCTGTGGGTGGGATCGTTCGCCGGCTGTAGCGATGGACGCAGTGGTGGGGACGCTCGAAACGAGGACAGTGGTGTCGTTTGACGAGGGCGAGAAAGCAGCAGTGGCCGCGTGGATCACAGCGGAGAAGCTGAACGAGTATGGTGACAAGCCGACGACTGTCTACACGGGCGGCACGCCGCTGTTTGACGAGAGCACTGGCACGACGAGGAACGTGTACGACTACATCTTGAGCCGTCACCCGGACCGCCCGTGGCAGTCACGAGCAGCAACGACCACGTCGTTTGCAGCGACGAAGGCTGGTGAGGATGCGACACTTGTGCAGGGATCGGTTGCTGCGGTGCTGAGTGTCCTGATTGTGGTGCTGCTGGTTGGCGTGGCCGTTGTCAAGGTGCGCCGCGAAAGGCGTGACCGCTTTCCGTACGACCCCATCCACAGCCGCTAGTGCCACTACGCGAATGTGTCGCAGCCGATACAACGTGGTAGTGAGAAGGAGGACGAAGTGAGCGCATGTGCGCAGTGTGCGTGCGTGTGAGGGCTCGACTGATGCGCAGGTGAAGAACGACTGTGTGGAAGTTCATGTAGTTGTTGGTAGCCTTTTCTCAGGCGCGTTAGCACTCGCGCCGTCGTGTGGTGTTGGAGTGGGAAGTTACTGCAGAAGCGAACACAATGCACAGAGTCATACCACACACACACACACACACATCGAACCTCGTGATGAAGTTGAATCAACGCGCTCGATGACGTCACAAGTCCCAAGTCACGGGAGAGGAAGCACGAAAACTACACGGGACAACGAGACGTGTCGGTCGTTGTTCATACTGTGTGCCTGCGGCTCGGACGAGTGAAGTCGCGGGCACATGAGTCAGCAGCACTGGATGTTCAGATGGAGAAGGCAGGACGTGACAGTGTGTGTTGTTCCCTGTGGCTGCTTCGCTTGGTACAAGTAGTCGGAGACTCGTTGTGCTGCATACCTCCTCCCGCTCACTGCGCGATGTTCACCGACTCGCCGGACGAACTGGTAGATGTGGCCCTGTCATCGACATACGTATCCTTCGCCGCGGGCTCAACAAGAGCTCCGACCGTGCGGTCTTCGTGCTGCCGTGTACAGCAGATGCACCATCGGTTCTCGGTGATGAACTCACAGCACCATCAGTTTCGCGTGATGAACTTGCAGCACCATCGGTTCGTGGTGTTTCCGTCGCACCCGAGCGTGCAATTAGGCCTGACGTGTGACGGCTGAACGCCAGCCGCATTCGACAGACAGCTTCAACTGTACAGACCACGCCATGATTGCAAGCGTGCATCAGCCTGCATCGACGTCAGATCTGAACGCGCGTCAACAACGTCCGAGTTAGCGAAGTATGTACACTAATTGAGACGAGACGAAACACACACTTGATCACCGTGCGTTGCGAAGGCGTCGCATGTGCCCTTTGTGGTAGAGCCGGCGAAAAGTGTCGCACGCGCAGTGCATCCGTCCGTCTTGAGCACATGGCGTACTTCAACGCAGCTGCTTGTGGCAACGGACTGAATACTGCTCACCCGATGCTGAGACAAGTGATGCACACAGCGGAGGACAGTCGCAAGGGAAAATGTGCAGCTGCAGCGGTGCTCACGATCGAGATCTTGCAACGGCAGTACGTCACGTCCGCACACTGTTTCTCAGCTACGCTGCAGGTGTGATGAAGTCGCCAGTAGGTACTGCGCTGCCGTGAACACTCGCCTACGTTCTTTGTATGTTTTTCTAGTTGTGACGGTACAGCTGCGCGGCTTCTACACATGGGAAACTGTCGCGACAGTTTGGCGTCGGGACCTGCTGCAGTATGCTGCTCGAAACTGAATTATGCTCACGTATTCGACATGCAGTCACGCCAAACCTGTCATGATGTGGCTGGCGTCACGCAGCTGACACATAGGATCTGAGAGCGGAAGGCGTCGTTACGGCCTGCACCCAATATCTTGTGCAAGCAGGCGCCTCGTGGCGCTCTATCGACTTCTGAGACCGTCGCTAGGTAGGACAGGCGCGGTGTCTGGGCAATCGCCCAGGATGCCAATCAAGTACACTTGACCCTTGTTTAGGAAGTCCTAAGAACAATTAGACCAGCATTGAGGTTTAGCGATAATATAAAAGCGCTTTTATTTATCGAAGAAAACAAAAAAACGACCGATCCAGCGGGTAAGCTCTGGGACATGCATGTTAGTTGGTTAGCACTCTCACTTGTAATACACCAAGAAAAAAGGAACATGTCACGTAATTCCAAACAAGCTAAGTTGCTGTCCTAGGACAACAAGCGTTTGCAAGTCTACAGCATGGTAGTAGTAAAAGTGAGGTATACCTACAGCATGGTACACATCATGGACGCCAACAACGCCGCTCTCTGGTAGCCACTGTGTTCTCCTTCACACGAATCTGTCACTCTGGGCGCCCTAGATCGAGAGTTGCATCGTCGTCTGCTGCAGACGATTCTGGCTCAATCGATGCTCCATGTTTCGAGATTGGAGGTTCGTGTCATTGGCATTGGAAACATCCAGGTCGCTTCTTGCGCTCCACAAACTCGATTGCATCGGAGCAACCTTGAGTTGAAGAACGGTAGAAGCGAAGAAAGATGATGAGCGCACGCTGGGATAACACACTTTCTTTTCTCATTCGATGGTTGCAGGATCCCACGCAGGAACGCTAGAGACCAGAAGACATGCTATCTATCTCGAAATAAATGGCAAGCCGCTGTTTGCCATGCATTTACGGTACAACTTGTGCAAAAGACGACCACGATGCGGTGTTTTTTGTGTGGTCGATCTTCGAGACCATGATACAGTTGATCAAAAGCCTTCCTTGGGTGTGGTAAAAAGATGAGAGCTATGATATCGAATAGCGTCTGAGCAAACGAAAACCTCAAGCGTTTACAGTGAACAAGCTGAGGTCACACACAATGCCGTTTTACAGAGTGCTGGTAGAAAACCCGAATTTCACAAGAGGGACTCAGCACTTGCTAGGAAATTGACATTGATGTGCGGTCGGTTCAGGGCAGCACTTGACGTTCGATGGTTTGCACTACGTCACAGGCTAACCCCCGTGTTGATTTCGGGGAACGAATATCGCCACCCCACTTTTAGCAATCGTCACGTCCTTCGTGCCAGCAGGATCGCACCCTTTGTGCAGATAGCCTCACACCCCGACGAAAAACTCAAATACGGATTGGGTTGACGCACAACACACTACAAACCGCCACACAATGTGTATCAGGCAGTCGATCGAGTGCAAATTATGTCATGTGTGTCTCGAGTGCATGGAAAAAAAGTCAAGAAATGTAAAATGAAGTTGAAATACGTAGGAAGAAGTAAGACGTACGACAACGAGTCTAATGACGATGCGTCGGTCGACTGGGTCATGACGACCGATGCTATAGTGTGTTTGGCGGTCGTGTCCTGGCTGGTGGTGAGGTCATCCACTTCGCTACTGACTGCTTCCACGGTGTTGCTGAGCATGTTGTATGCCGAAAACCTCTCTTCGCAAGCTACTGGTCTCCGTTCGATGGCAATGAGAACCGGATCTTGTATGAGCACTCGCCTCTCGGCCAATGTCCCGATCGTATCGTCGTCAACTGCTTCACGGTAGAAGCAGATGGGGTGTGGGCCGCTGTTGTAATCGTGTACTGTCTCGGCACAATTGTGGTCAATGAAGGTCGCGCCATCTTTGCATGGACAAGGTGCCAACACCATCCGACCGTCAGCCTGCATGCAACGACCGGCACCTCGGGCTGCTCTGGTTTGTCGGAAACAGGGCATGACGTTATACTAGACCGATGCATCTGCTCGAATCGCAAGTTTCTAGTCTACCCACCACGTCTCATCGAGCAAGGTTGCTCCCTCGTAGCGAATGCGGGACAGGCAACAACGTGATTTCAGCGTAGCGGAACAAGGACCGATGTATTGTTGAACAGTGAATTTACCACAGAGGTAGACTAGAGGGAGTAGTCACCATGCGGTCGGTGCCTCGAATCGCGAGGTCCAGCTTATCCTTTTCCGTTCGACCTTCTAAGCACGAATACATGTTGTCTTCTACTACCGCCGTAATCGATCGGATATGGAGCGCGGTAGAAAGCTTGCAAACACCTTTTTGACAAGTGCTTCTTTTACACTGTACTGGCTAATCCACATGAGTTTACAATCGCTGTTAGTTTCGGAGGGGTGTGGGGATTGCACGAAGTGGGTGCGGCGATGTCGATTGCCCGATTTCGGTGTCATACTTGCTCTTACCAAGTCCATCATGTTGTGTGCACTGAAGATTCTGTAGTGGCTCTGCTTGCTGGCCAGGAAGTTGCTGTTAAGCAAGTGTCCGACAATGCGCATTGTCTCGTGCAGCGCCGATGCCGTGTTGAAACACGCATCGTTTAACAGAAGCGCAGTCGCTTGCAGCATAAGAATCTGCGAGCGCAACAAGAATTGTTTGACGTTATGTTGTCGCATGATGCTTCCACATGACACCGTCTACGTAACTGTGTTCACGTCAATAGCTTGGCTGACTTGACGAGGTTTGCACCTTTCGCATCTGAGCGAATATCTCCACCGAACCTAGCGAGGGAATCCACGTGGACTCTTTTTTCGTTCCGAGGTCGGCAACCGGGCGCACGTCGAACGCTTGGTCCGTTATTGCGGTTCCAGGCGCCAAACCTTTTGTCAGGTTATCAGTAGTGTCAAAGGTGCGGTGCCCGAAACGCCTGTAAATCTCATCTGGAAACATTGACCCGTGTTGTATATTCAGTAACTAGCTGCTCGAGGGACTGCACCTGACAATTCATATTCAGTTACACATGTTCGAGCAGCAAGTGGACTATCTGCTAGAGGCCCATTTTGACGCTTTCACGCTGTGCTTTCGTAGCTGCGACTTGTTAGCTGGTTTTCGCGCTGGCGATGATGAACGATCCGTCAGAGCGGACTCAGACGAGATCAAAGCTTGGGGCGGGCGTCACAAAGAGGGAGCGGTGTCCCTAAACTTTGTCGACATTGTTCACAAAGTCATCGCTATTAGGCCAGAAACTCAAATGACATTCAGCGCGGCCATTTGCATTGATATGTACTGCTTGCCGCTGAGAGCACGCTGCACTGGTGACCAAACAGCTCAACAAGGGATGGTAGCGAACAAGCGAGAACCCGCGCATACATGCAGCGTGACGGCAATCACGATCTTGTAAACACCGTGCTTGCACACACTCGAGCATCGTCGCTGCTGATGATCTACTTGTCATGCTGTTGGGACGGCCGCGCCTGATCCGACTGCCCCGGGTTCTGCTGGAAGTTGATGCTGTACGATCCCGTCGCGGGATCCTGCACCATCTGGAAGTTGTCCGTGCTCAGGCCAAACTTGCCCAAGATCGTGTTCCCAAAGCCCTTGAGCTTGTCCAGCATCTCCGCCTTCATCTTCTCTTGACGTTCGTGCACAACCTTCTTCAGACGTTCATGGCCCTTCATCGCCGTGGGCACTGTCGGATCGATCTTCAGTACCGCATCGTAGTCCGCAAGCGCTTCCTCCAATTTGTCCATCTTCTCGAACGCCTCTGCTCGCCGTAAAAGGGCCTTCACGTACGTAGGCGACAGCGTGACTGCCTGTGTGCAGTCATCAATGGACTCCTCTGTCCTCCCAATCCGCAGGAGACAAGCTGCTCGGTTGCTAAAGTATACTGCCTGCAGAGCAATGTAGAACAATGCAGGAGACCAGTAAGCAATCATCTTTTGCAATAAGTAGCCAGTCACATCGACCGTACCCTGTTGTACGCGTACTCGTCGTCGGTAGGGCAGAGTTTGAGTGCCGTTGTGTAGCACTCAATTGCGTCCAAGTAGCTGCCACGCGCGAAAAATCTGATGCAGGAAACACATATTTACACTGTTGAGAATCCCTATTTGTTGTATCCCACATGTGCCCATTTTGTCAAAAGCACAACAACGAACCCGTCCCGCGCAAAACGTACTTATTGCCGAGTTCTTTTGCTGCCGATGCTCTTTTGACATTACTAGCGCCCTTTTCTGCACGATCAGATGTCGCTTCGAGACGGTCGTCCACTTCGATGCTCTGCACGAGTCGCGTCAGTTGCTGCTCCAGCGTCTCGTCTTCCGCTGTCGTTTCACTCGATGCCTCGGATTCAGCATCAGTCGTCTTCTTGTCAGCGCTCTGTGGGTGCGTCACCGGGTAGTGCGTCTCTTCCTCCAGCACCTCAAACCGCGAGGTGTCCGAGTGCTCCATCGTCCAGATTATTGTTCGAAAGTGACGGGCGAAGAGCTGTTCTCGAAGATTGTGTCGACTTGGTCGTGCAGTATAAACGCTGAGAGGTTATCCACCGCTGCGCTTTCATGAATATCCGTCTAAAAAGACGACTTGAATATATCCAGGATAATAATACCCATTCCACGCCGCGCGGATAAGTGGTACCCACTGAAATAAAATCAATGACTGTCGCTTGGCCAGCGCCGCAGACGCTGCCCGCCCACGCGCGCGCCGTTTCGAGCCTCGCGTTCGCTCCAAACGAGACGCTCCTCGCTTCGTCATGTACGTCGCTTTTGCCTCGTCGACCAGCGGCGTCGTCCGCGTCTCGCGTGGCTGGTTGCATTTGCCGTCGATCCGCTTTTGTCCACTGCGTTTTGCTTTATAAATCTTGTGCTTTTTTCATCGCTAGCCGCCGACTCGAGCGTGAAGATCTGGCAGCTCCCGTCCGAATGCGACGCCTCAACGACAGGAACGACCGCACTCAAGACCTCTCTATACGGCCATGAAGCAGGTGTCTCGGACTGCTGCTGGTCCCCCGACGCGCGCCACGTGGCGTCTGCCTCGGACGACTGGACAGCGCGGCTCTGGGACGTTGAGACGGCCAAGACGCTGGCTACACTGGGCGCGGCCCACCGGAGCTTGGACGCGGCGCTCTGGACGCCTCTGTCGCTGCTGAAAGGCCCGTCTGGGCCCATGAAACTGGACGAAGATGGACTGCACACTGCTGTGGTGGCGGCGGACGCAGCTGCTGAATCGCACACGGGCTTTGTAAACTGCGTGGCGTTCAATCCGCAAGGGTCGCTTGTGGCTACAGGCTCACACGACGAAAGCCTGAGGCTCTGGGATGTCCGCAGTGGCAAGACCGTTGCGGTCATTGGCGCCCATCAAGAGCCCGTTGTGAGTGTGCAGTTTCATCCGACGGACGGCTCGTTGCTCGTGTCTGGCGGCTATGACGGCCTCGTGCGTGTGTGGGATGTGGCGTCTCGTCAGTGCATGCGCTCGATCATCACAGAACCAGCAGCACCGGTGGGAAGCGTGAGGTTTACGCCGAACGGACGGTACGTCCTGAGCTCGACGCTCGATGGCACGTTGCGTTTGTGGGACTACGTGCGCGATGTGTGCGTGCGCTCGTACAGTGGTCACATGAATCGTAAATTTGGAATGCAGTGCGTCTTCTTGCAGCAGCACGACAAGCAGCCGGTCGTTGTGTGCGGATCGGAAGATCATCGCATTTTCGTGTGGGACGTGGCATCGCAGGAAGTGGTCTCAGTCTTGGCTGGGCAGGATTATCCCGTGCTTGCGCTTGCTGCGCATCCGACGCGTGCGCTAATGGTCTCGAGCTCGAACCAGGATATCAAGGTGTGGACTCCTAGCGACGAAGCAGATGGCAACGGAGATCGATGACCCGAGCAGTGCTGCATGGCAAAAGCCGAGGCGGGCGCTACACACTGGCAGACACAGGCACTACACAGAAACACACATTGGGTCTATTTATTACTGTGATTTCTACATCATTCCGCGAGCAAGTCATTTTGACGACCCCAGCCCCCCCCACAATCGAGAAGAAGACGGCGGTCGCTGGCACATTACGACTCGCTTGGTCTAACGAGCTTGCTGCATCTGCTGCATCCTGCTGAGGTTCTTGAGATAACTGAGCGTAAACTGGTTGTCATCGCAACTACAAAGCACACGGAAGTCAGATCAACGAAGTGAGCTATCGAATACAGATGACCACGCTCGACGGACACATGGATAACGTACATCTTGGCAAGGTCCTGCAAATGACGCGCGACGCTCTTTTGCAGTGAACGCAGGGTAGGAAGGCATGTGGCGCTGCTGCATGAATCGTCTCGCAGGGTCTGGCCATGCGTGTTCAGCACAGAAAGACTCCACTGAAGGTAAAACTCAAGGTGCGGGCTGCATTCCATTCGCTTCGCGAGAAGCTGCAGCAACCGCTGCAGGTACGTCTCACCGCGCAGCGTTTGTGCCACGAGCGGAATGCTAGCCAACGGAACACCTTCCACGCACCGAGCAATAAGCGGCTCCTCGTTTAGATGTAGCGCCATTACCAAGGCACGAGCATATTCTCGGCGCGCCAGCGTTCGAGTGATAGTTTCCGGTGTGATGTCCTCGTCCAGCTCGAACGGGTCGAAGGCGAGACTCTCGTCCAGGCCATAGATAAGCAGACCTTCCTTGGTCGCAGCAGCCCAAGCACGGCCAGTGGGCGAGAAAACTACAGCCTTGGACAACACCTCCATGTTCTTGCGACGGCTGCCCGGATCCACAGCACGCTTCGCACCCACAAGGTCAGCGCCAACATCTCGGCCCAATGCCTCCGAGTCATCCAGATGGGCGTCCAACTCACTCTTGCTAAGCCCGCTCTCTGTGATGTTCTTGTTGTTGAGCTTTTCTAGGACGCCATCCAGCGACAAATTGTGTGAGATCTGAAACTTTTTCAGCAAGATTCGATGCTCCGCTGCGTAAATGCACACGAACTTGGACCGTCCACCAGCAAGAAGAAGTGAGCCATCAGCCGAGTAGCACACACTCGTAAAATACTTGGTGAGCTGGTTGTTAGCCGCCGAAATGTGGTCACCGTCCTTGCGACCACCTGCAATATCGCGCTTGCCATCAATCGTTCCGACCTGTTCGCCGTCCTTCACGTCCCAAATGTTAATCGCGCCGTTCAGCGTCGTTGAAGCCAGTTGCTTACCGTCCGGGCGGAACGTCACCGCCAAGACGTCTGTGGGGTGGGCGAGCGGTTCAATGAAGTTTTTCTTGCTCGCAAACAAATTCCAGAGGCGCACTGTGTGGTCCCACGAAGCTGAGGCTAGAATTGGCTCTGCAGAAGACGATGGCGAAAACGAGAGCGACGTTACAGGTCCGCTGTGGCCACTGAGGACATCTGTGAGGCGCCCAGTCTGCAACGACCAAACGTACACGTTAAACGGATCCATTGACCCTGCACACACCACTTGTCCACTCATATCCAGCGCGAGCGATAGAAACTGCGTGGGCTCTGGTGTCGTCAGCACGCGAAAGTTCTTGTATCGATTCAAGTCAAATGCGCGAACGGTGCCATCCAGAGACGCGCTCAGAACGGCTTGGCCCGAGGGAGCAAACTGCACGGCTGTCACAGGAGCAGAGTGCTCGGTAAAGGTAACGTAGCAAAAGCCACTACTTGTGTCCCAGAGTTTTAGCTTCGCGTCATCGGCACCCGTAGCAAGCAAACGTCCGTCGGGCGAGTAGCTGGCAGCATTCAGGTCAAAGTAGTGGCCCTGCTGCTTTAGCACGTATGTCTCGGAGCGCCACTCCCACACCAGCAACTGTCCTAGCTTGCACGATGCAAAGGCCAGCCATTCACCCGTAGCATTCACCGCAACTGTTTCCAGCTGATTCTGCGTGACACTGAGCGTATGGATGTTCACGAAAGCCGGCAGCTCGTACAACCCGAACGTGCCGTTGCCAAAGCCCACCACGAGCATGCCTGTCGAAGAGTGGAACGTGCAACACAACACCTTGGCAAAGTCCATCTTGAGCACATGCTTCTGGCAAGTGTACCATTTGATAGCACGCGCAATTTCTGGAACAACAGCTTCTTGCTCCTCCAGCGTCTTGCGCGTACGCTTCTTGTCCACAACCGTATCATCGTCTTTGCTGCCACTTTCCGTCTCCTTTGTTTCCTCCTCCTCAACCTCCTCGTTGTCGTCGTCATCACTACTTCCATCTTCCATCTCCTCCGCTTCCTCCTCACCGATCTCCTCCGTGTCTTCGTCCTCACATTTGGCAACGACCTCCTCATATCCTCCGTCGTCCGGCAGTTTGTATTTCCACTCGAACGCGCCACCGTCTCGTCCAACAGTGAAAATGGATCGGTCGTCTTCAGCAAAGAACGCGCCCACGACCACGTCACGGTGTCCAGAGAGCGTCAGCGGTTTGAACCCCGGGTACGGGTCCACCGAAAACACTCGAGCCGACAGATCTTCGGCTCCCGTCACGAAAAACTTGGCACAATGCGACCACGACACACTCACTACGTCAGCGTAATGGCCAGTGTACGTGCGGTGCAGCACAAACGGCGCAAACTCGCGCACGAGACCAGGCGTGCGCCACAGCTGCACCTTCGTGCCGATCGCTACTGCAATGTAGCAATTGTCCGGACTAAAGTTCAACGCGCGCACGGGGTGCTTGAAGTGGAATCGGTACAGCACAACACCTCGCTTCAAGTTCACGAGCAAACACCGACCGTCGACGTCCACCGCGAGCAACAGCCGCGAGTCGTGCGACACGGCAATACGCTCGACATTCGTACGCGCTTCAAAGGCAAAAGTTCGGGACGTGTTGCTACAAAGCACAATCGCAGCAACCGCCACAACACGCGTTAGCATGAAACGACACTAGCGACGTCAGCAATACATATCGAATGATTGAATAACATGTTGTGGCAGTGTCCGATTCGGCCGACAATGTCGGGACGTACTTGATGAGGTCGAACTGAGTGATGCGATTGCCCACAGGACTTAGCACAGAGTTTCCGTCCGGCGTGAAGACCACGTTGCCCTGCGAGTAGACGCTGCCACACAAGTGCTGGAACTGGTAGGCGAACTTCATGGGACGCACGTGGGTGAGCCAGTGCAAAAAGTCGACAGCAAATGCTTTGCGCGTGCCCAAGTGGTTGGCAGGCAGGGACGACGTTGTTTCAACCAATGAAACGCGTCGAATCGAGCTCACGACCAATCACACGACGTGGTTGCAATCGCGCAAGTAAGTACCAGCAGCCGCAGCGACCGCGCGAATGGCTGCGACCGCCTCGTCGACGGCGGCGAGCGGCGCGCCGCCCAGTGTCCTGACCAAGTTCCTGGGCCTGCTGCGCAACTACCGAGAGCCTGTGACGGATTCCGAGGTGCGCGACTATTTCCGGGCAGAAGGTGGCGGTGGGGGCTACGAGCAGCTGCCGGACGTCATCAACGCGCTCTTGGGCGAAGGCAAAATCAAGATCTTCAAGAAAGGAAACGTGCTGTCGTACGGTATCGTGGACGCAGAAGAGGCAGAACGGGTTCGAGGACTCACGTACGGTGCTTGGTCTCTGCTAAAGGGGAGTGGGGGGCCTGGACGACCCGATAGCATGAAGATGATGACGACAAGGCATTTTGTGCTGTGGCAGGTTGGAGCAGCGGCTCGTGCTGCAGGAGATTGAGCGTGCGGGCAACAAAGGCATTTGGACGAGGGATATCAAGACGCACACGAATATCCCGCAGGTACAATGGGGTCTATGGTGTCAGCAGAGTATGTAAAGCGGTTGGAAACTGCTGGCAGCGTGTAAACAATTAGGTGTGTGTTTTGTTGGTTGTTGTGGCGAGCAGCAAATTGTGACCAAGACGTTGCGCCTGCTCGAGACGCGGCGTCTGGTCAAATCGGTCAAGTCCATTAGCAGCAGAAACAAGAAGCTGTATATGCTGTTTGACCTGGGTAAGGCGTGCTTTGTAATACGTGGAGAATGAAGTGAGTGGCGTACTGATCGAGCGTATATTCGCGACCGTTGTGTTGTTGTTGTTGTTGTTGTTGGCTGTAGTGCCTTCGACGGAAATCACTGGCGGCCCGTGGTACAATGAGCAGGAGTTCGACCACGTATTTATCGACACGCTCAGCACGTTTGTGTACGAGGTGATCAAAGCTTCGGGAATGAGTACATTGAATGCAATCACAGACAAGGTGCACGCATCAGGCATTTCCAAGGTGGCGTTGGGTCCCGAGGAAATCGGCTCCATCATCCAGATGCTCATGTACGACGGTCGTGTGGAGGAAGTCCGCTCCGTGCGTCTAACGCCTGGTGTACGCAAACCTGCATATCGCACGTCGCTCGTTCACGACTCCCTGCAGTGTTTTCTCTCTCGTCTCACACTATTGCTGCGTGTTTCGCTTCTGCAGGTATCTCACGAAGCAAAGTACAAGGTCTCGCCACAAATTACGACATTCAACTACCTGTCGGAGACTCCCTGCGGCGTATGTCCGGTGCGCAAAACGTGTTCCAGCCAGCCAACACTGCCCTCGTTTGCTGACAGGACATGTTTGTTGGTATGATTCAGGTGTTCGATCAATGCCAAGAAGGCAACGTCATCTCGCCCCGCTCGTGTCTCTATATGACCAAGTGGTTAAGCCTCAAGGACCTTGACTTTTAGTTTTTCTAGTTCGTCCGACCCATTGATCCATTCGTTTCAGCCAACCATCGTGTCGATAGCACTAATTGTAGCCAATCATCTGAGCGCAGTCACGAAGTTCGCGGTTCCCAACCAATGGCCACTCGTCCTGCGAGTTTAGCGCCGGCGAACGCGTCTGCTTCGCCTCCACCTCCTGTCAATCTCTTTGCGTTCTCTCATACGCAGGACCGCAGCACGTCAGCGACCCCAGGGCCAGCGCCGCTTTCGTACGAAGGTGCGACACCAAGTTCGCTTTACGATCGTTACAAGTGTTTATCCTGATTTTCATCATGAGATTGTTGCTGATATTGTTGCGAATATTATTGTTGATATTGTTCCTATCGTCATTATTATTGCTGCTTTTATTGTTATTGTTCTTATCGTTGGTATTGTTGATATTATTGTTATTGCTTTTGTTGCTATTTATGCTATTATTGCTGCTGCTGTTTTGCTGCTGCTGTTTTGCTGCTGCTGTTTTGCTGCTGCTATGTCTACGGTCTTGCAGAGTGTAATCGTGCGTACTCTCTTCCGTTCAATGCGTCAAACGCCATGACTGGAGCAACTCTTGCGTCGTCACTTGGTACTGGAGCTGCAGACTCGTGGTCAGTGCCTTTGTCGCGCTGGTCCACCGCCTTGTTGACACCGAGATACTTGACAACCGCTACACACGACATGCCGCCGATGTACGATGTGTCGCCAACGAATTCAGCAATTGATCTGGAAAGATTCCGATGTGTCAGTGCTGGAGTTGTCGCGAATGAGGTGGGCGATCGGTGCTGTGATTACGATAATGGCCCTAGTGCTGCTTTGTTGACCAGAGCGACGATGCCCGAGACGGTTGAAAGACAGCAAGTCGAGCACTCCGGAAGAAGTGTTGGCATATGGGGCAACACTGCTGTCAACAACACTGGCGGCACTTACATGACTATGAGTGCCGCACTAGAAGCTCTTTCGTCGTCGCCAGCTGCTGCAGGGATCGCATGTTCGACCTCAGCAGCGCCGAGCAGGAAGCGCAAGCGGATCCCAGGTGCGATGCGTATGCGCAATTTTCTGTGCACGCATCCCGGGTGCGGCAAATCGTTCGCGGACAGCGCTCACTTGAGAGACCACACGGTTGTACACACTGGTGAAAAGAAGCTAAGCTGTCGGACATGCCACAAGCTGTTTGCGCGTGCGTCTACGTTGCAAGAGCACATTCGTGTGCACACAGGCGAGAAACCTTATGTCTGTGGTGTTCCTGGCTGCAACAAGCGGTATTCGTCACGAGCTGCGATGCGGTTCCACCGCTCGTCACATACGTCACAGCGGTCCCTGACTGCTGAACAGAGTCGAGGCGAAATTGTACGCGCAGGGGTCGACGGTAATGCTTCACCGACACAAGACGCGCAGATGCCGCCGTTTACTTGTCTGGAATGTGGCAAACATTTCTGTGTGCATGAGCTATTAATGGCTCACTTGGGGGTTCACGCCGCCCACCGTGCTGCTGCAATCGCCTCCATATCGTCGTCTGAAAACGCTGTTGAGCACGCACGAAGAAGTGAAGAGGAAGCAGGCGCGGTCCAGTGGCACGTACACGGTGAAGAGAGCTTGCCCAGTGTTGGCGCTCCGCCACGCGATGAGAGCAGAGAGTTTCGGAATACGATACGGGCGCAACAAGATCAGATCGAACGGCTGAAGGCTGAAGTTTTACGACTGCGCAGGAAGATCGCTGCAGATCCTGTTGCAACACCTGCTCCAACTGCAGTAGTAGTCGGTGATCAGCCTGCGCTAACGCCTCCAGTCGAAATGCTCCACGATGGTTATAAACCGTTTGAATGCTGCATCTGCCACAACCGATTCACCAACTTCTATCAGCTCACGTTCCACGGCAAGCAGCACCCACAGGCGCTCATGGCCGAAGTGACAGGGAAGCAGGTTCCAGTTCCTGTCGGACCCAAGCACTGCCCCGATGAGCAGTGCGAGTATGCGAAATCGACGGGTAGAAGCTTGAAGAACCTGCAGACCCTCAAACGTCACTGGCAACGACGCCATCAAAATGAGCGGCCATATACGTGCACGCATTGCCCACCGACGCGTCAAAAGACTTTCAAGACCCGAGAGAACCTAAAGGCTCACCAAAAAGATTGTCCGAGAAACATCTTCGTCTGTCGAGATCTGTACCCGACTGATGTTGTGTCGTAAAACGAAACGTGGCAAACAGCGGCTACACCTTTATTCCAGCGGTGCCTTACTTGGCAACATCGAAGACTTGCTCAATGATACGGTGCAAATTAATGCTTTCCAGGTAGCCCTAAGACGTAAATAGCAAAGTTCTAGCGTCACAAGCATGTCCAGTCAACGTGAAGATAACAAAATGCACGTACCGCCTTCATCTTCTTGACAGCATGCAGATACACGACGATAGCATGAAAGCAATTTTCTTCGCCCTGCAGACCACGAAGTGTCAATGTATCAGCAAAATTTACTGCAGAACATGGCAAATAAGCGTACCGGGACAATCTCGCGAACTGCGCCTTTCACCAGTGCCTTAAAGTGAGGTGGACGCCCCACCGTCTGGACGAGAAAAAGGCGGCTGCGTACTCGCGGTGTGAATGGACGGCTGGGGCCTTTGCTGAAGTAGTAGGACTTCCAAAACGGTCGGTCACGCTCGTTGTCTGCTGGCAACATGTTGTCCATCAAGCAGCAAAAAGTGTTCATCATGATCTCGGCGTCCGTCGGCAAGTTCTCCGTCCACTCTTTTCCTTTCCAGGCAGCGCCCTTGTTCCAGCGAAATCGATCGAGGCTACGGTCCTTTGACAGCATGATCAGTCGCTCGAGGACATACTGTTGGCGTTCTAAGGACGCGTAGTCTGTGCTGTTAGGATTACCGACATTCAAGTATTTTTCAAACTGGAAACACACACAACCATTTCAGTTCAATAACGTTCGGTTCGCAATACTTAGCAAAACAAAAGGTTACACTTACGCTTCGGTGCTCCTCAAACAGAAACACGCCTCGCTCCTTGCTGAAAAACAATGGGCTTTTGGCAAGGTTGTGCAGCATGTCAGATAGCGATACATTCGTCATTTGATTCGCTTGGCCTGGCGGGCACAAAAGGGCCTGTGACGGTACGCGACGCAAAAGAACGTCCGCCATCACACCACACTCGTTGAGAGCACTCGCATTTTCCAGAAAAGCCTCGACAACGTCCTTCACGTGATACGCAAGCAAGCGGCGAATGTTGCGGCAGTACAGGTGCATGAACATCGCAAGCCCCCATTCTTCCAGCTGCTGCCACGCAATATGTGGAAGCGACGACGTACGCAGTGGATCATCTTCACCGTCGCCCGTGTTGACGTCACGAAGGTATGGGTCGAAGCCCGAAGCCTGATACACGCGAGGCACCATGGACGCATTGCCATAGATGCCATAAGCATCACTCTGGTAAGAGTTTTCGATTCCATATGCGGAAGCCGACTGCATCGATTCCTCGGCTTCTTTCTGTTTTTGAGCTTTTTGGATGCGGCGGAGATACGCTTTACCGTCTTCGACCGTCTTGACAGGAGCAGGGTCAAACAACGAACGCTGCTCTTCACCTCGCCTCTTGCCATTTTGCAAATCATCTTTTTTGGACAGCCGTCCGCGCACCACATTGAGTTTCATCACTTCCTCCACTACAGTGCATCGCAGCCACGAATGAATCTCGTTAGTACTAGATTTTTCACTTGCGGTGAGTATCAAAAACGCAACGCACATTGTGCCGTCCGGTCCAGCGACGCAGGAGCAACAGCGTTCGGTTTCGTGACTCTGGCCAAGTACTGCATCATTGCGTCAACAGTAGCATGTCCACGTTAGTTCTTCACTCATCAGAATACAGATCCACAGACACATGGGGTACCTTCGAATTGAACTGGATCAGCAGCTCTTCCCCCTGCACTTGCGCTACTCGCAGCACTAACAGCATCGACAGCACGAGCAGTCCATGACCTGCAGCATCAAGTGTGTCTCAATAACAACGTCCCCAAACACAGCTTCATAGTCGCTTGCCACGTAAAACAAAGACCGCACCTGCGATAGCCAATAGACAGAGCCAAATTGTTGAGCTCCAGTCGCCATTCACGACGCTCCAGAGAGGCGGCAGCGTTAGCCACAGCATCGTCGCAAGCACGAGCATCATCGATCCCAAGTTGCTCGTGTACGTCGCTAGCTGCGCCTCACGGATGGCGTGCGTCTCCATAGTACGCAGCGCCTCGGCGCCGTCCGCCATCAGTCAAATACTTGGACGACTTTGCTCCAATCCGAGACGTTCCGCTTGAGTCGACGCGATTGTTTTATTTCGACCAATCCGATTGCGTTTTCCTGCGATCCGATCGCGTCTTTTCAACCAATGCGGTTGCTGCACGTGATGAGAACTCACGCCCTCGACGCATTTTATGAAGAGCTTCGAGCCCCTCTTCCCGGCCGCAGCGGCGCCGCACAACCCGTACTACCGGCACTCCAAGGCACGCAAAGGGTCGTACACGTCCGCCACTGACCGCTTCTACGTGCTCGTGGGGACTGTCGTGGTATTTGTGCTCTTTCTAGGCTACCAGAACCTCGGCAACGTCCCGCCCACTTCAACTGACCTGCAAGCAGGAGCGGCGGCGGCGCTGTCAGGAGGCAAGCAGCGATTGAGACTACGTGGACCGCACGGCAGTATGGCAACGAAGACGGAGACGCAGCAACAGGCGCTGAGCACCTCGTCGCTGCGGTTCAAGATCATGACGTTCAACTTGAGATATGCTGGCACGGGGGACGGACTCAATGGCTGGCAGTACCGCAAGGAGCACGTAGCAGACATTATCAATCGATACCATCCAGCAGTCTTGGGTACTCAGGAAGGGCTGAAGACGCAACTGGCAGAGCTGGAGGTGCGTGTCGAGGGCACAGAGGCGGTAGTGTGATGGCGCAATGTGCTGGTGGGTACGTGTATGCTCACTGTGTTGCGTGCATGATCAGGCCATGTTGAAGCACCCGTATGAGCGCTTTGGTGTCGAGCGCGAGGAGAATGGTGAGTTTGAGCAGCTTTTCTACGATACGGAGGTGCTTGAGCGCCTGGACAGTGGCGATTTCTGGCTGTCGGAAGAGCCCGATAGACCGGGAACGAAAGGATGGGATGCAGCATGTGTGCGTATGGTGACGTGGGGAAAGTTTCGTCTGCGAGCGACGCAGCAAGAGCTGTTTGTGTTCAACACACAGCTGGATCACGTGGGCGATCAGTCGCGTGAGAAGAGCTCTACGTTGCTTTGGGAGCGCATGAAGCGAATTGCGGGTGATGCACCGCTCTTCCTCATGGGTGATTTCAATACGTATCGCCACACGAGTACGTACAGCTTCTACACGTCTCAAAAAGACGGGCCTCAGCTGCGTGAAGCCTGGCCAGAAGCGGCAAAACAGATTGGTGACGTGTCGTATACGTACCACGGCTGGGCTGGTGTTCACAATGATGGAGAGAAGAATGCTATTCGTGCTGCCAACCACATCGACTGGATCTTCTATCGCCCGGAGATGAAAGTGCTGACGACGGAGGTCATTACCGAAGATCGTAACGGGCGCTACCCGTCGGATCACTACCCCATCCAAGCCGAGGTGCTCTTTCCGAGTCCTGCACAGCTTCCTCCCCCGCACCGGGCTGACAAAGGCAATTGAGTCAGAAGACGGTGTCAAAATGGGCTGCTTTGGGCTGTTACGGCCGGGACGATTTGCTAGCGTTGTGCAGTTTTGCAGCTCAATCTGTTCGGATGCGGTACGGGCTGCGTCAGAGAGTCCGTGTCGAAGGTGACGCCTTATCTCGTTGTGCGAAGTCCACTGGGACTTGCAGAATCGAGGCTTCTGTCAGCACTAGGGCCTCAAATATATCATTGCGCTATGAGTGTGTACGGTTCTTATTCTTGACTCGACCATCAAGTTCGTAAAGGGGCGGCCTTGAGTGGTGATGCTGTGGTCTGTCACAAAACTACGCGAACAAAAGCAGGTTGACCTCCGTGGCGAACGGTATGCGAGCCCATGCCTGATAAGTGCGTCAACACATGATCGATGGCATTGGAACCTGAGCGCCATCAAAGCTGAAACCTTGCGGTCCAGCACCTGCACAGCTCCAAGTCGACTTGCAACGTATTGTTGCGTGCCATTGGACTTGTCTACATGAGTGAGCGCAAGTGTCACTACGCACATGACATCGATTTGACTCGACACATCTACGATCGACATGCAGTCATGCGTTGTAATCATATTCGCACGTGCAGCAGCGGCATGAGATACTGTCCTGTGTCATGCCAATGCTGCAGGGCAATTTCAAGATGAGGTAGTCCGTCTTATAAACATCGTGCAACAAACGCACTCAAAAGCCTGCCTGGCATTGACACGGTCTAAGCTTGTGCTCGATAGTCATGCGACAGCAAAGTTAACTGCCGACTGGCTCCTCTGCTTCGACCTTCTTGAGCATCGCGATGATAGCATTGGCAGTGGCTTCGTTGCGAGCAACTCCACGGCCAACTGTGTACATCTCAGCAAGGTTCTTCCAGGCCTCCATTGAGTCTCTGTCAGCCGCCTCCTGATAGTAGTAAAAAGCTTTCTGGAAGTCCTGCTTTACGCCGACACCGTTGTAGTACAAAGCACCAAGACAGCAGAATGCGTCTGCGTGTCCTTGCTGAGCAGCAGCTAAGTAAAAATGGCGTGCCTGCTCATGATCCTGATCGAACCCGTCACTACCGTGCAAGTAGATGTCTGCCATGCAAAAGTACGCGTCAGCATCTTCCGCCTCCATAGCCTTGTCCAGATGCTCAAGGAACTTGGCTCGATCCGCAGCAAAGTTGTTGACGTCATCGCCTGAGCGGTACAACTGCGCCAAGTAGTATAAAGCTCCAGGATGACCCTTACTGGCTGCCATCTCGATAAGCATGAGACCACTTGTAAAGTTTGCCTCGATTTCCAGCTCTGTGTCTCCCTGATGCAGCAGCGTTCCCATGAAAAACTGAGCCGACACATCACCCATTTCTGCTGCACGAGTAAAGAAAGCGATCGACGCACTCTTGTTGCCCAAGAAAGGCGGTTCTGCATGATGAACACCCTCATACAACATCACGCCAAGGTTGTACAATGCATCCGGGTGTGGATTCTCGCCCTTCGACACGTTTGTATACCAGGCACTGGCCTCCAGTGCCATCGGCGGGTCATGGCTCAAACATAGGTTTCCAAGCTGAACATGAGCATCTCGGTGGCTGTTATCCGCCGCACGTCGAACCCACTCCACTGCTTTTGTCGTATCCAGCTCTGTCTTTGCAATGTCTGCGTGTCCCTTGTCAGCACTCTCGAGCAGCGGCTCTAGCTTCGACTTTGGTTGCAGCAAAAACTCCATTGTCTTGCCAAATGCGCGGTCGAGCTCGCCAGTCGTCGTGCGCTGCACCACTGACGCATCATCAGCCAAGCGCGTCGTTTTCGCTCGTGCCTTGCGTTTCTGCTCCATCAAATATTGCTTGTAAGCAGCACGTGCACCCTTCCGAATATCTTTGATGGTCTCATGGTCGCCACTACGTCCAACGCGTTGTCGATTGGCTTCCGCGTCGCGGATCAGCTCCTTGTTCTTGCACTGAGCTTCGTCTTCGTCCTCGTCTTCTCCCTCCTCTTCGTTCAGCAGCAGCGAGCCCAGCAAATACTGCGCGTCTGCAATGTTGGCGTGTGCCGCCACCCCTAGACACCCCATGGCCTCTTGCATGTTGTCCTCGTTTATCAGCTGCTTGGCCTTTTCAAAAGTTGCATATGCCTACAGCGATCAATCGATCAATTGCGTGCAACAGATAAGTCCTCACATCACCCAATTCGTGTTGCCAAACGCGACCAAATAGCATCAGACGCACCTCTTTCTCGTCTACTGCAGAGCTATACGTGCGCTTGATGGAAGAAGGACAGCGCCGGGCAGTCGAGAGCGCTCGACCGCTGAAGGCCGCTCGACCGCTCGTGGCAGCTGCTCGGCGGAGGACTTGCCGTATCATTTGCATCGTGGAAAAGTGTTTGGCCACGGTATGTCTGTGTCGTGTGTACCACCTTGCATTCCTTATCCTGCTACAGCTTTGGTCGTGGGCCATCGACAATGCGAATTTCTTATGGATGATCCTTGCAACTTCCGCGATCAAAACAGTGTACAATTGGTGCTGTCTTGCAACGAATGCCTTTGCTGGAGACGACAGCTTTTTTCGTACGGAGACAGAATCTCGCAATTTGGTGACCAGCAACACGCCCCGACGATGTTGTTTCATTAGGGGAATGACCAACTGTCCGTCGTTGTAGTTGATGTGGCAAGGTCTCAGCTGGAAGTTTGACACTAGGTAGGAAGAGAACAGGCTTCATCCATGTGCAAATGTTCTGCTCATGGCTCTGACTTCTTCCAATCTCGTTGGCTCTCTTTTCCACAGCATGCTCTCCACTGCAGGTCTTTCACGTACCTCAGTGAACATGCAGAACGCACGCACGCAGCTTGCGAGTGTGATTACCGTGCTAGTCGTGGCGATGGTGCTGTACACTGCTACCTCAGCTACGCAAGAAAGCTGCACCCAAGGGGTAAATGAGTACTGATAAGCAGATTGATGTACGAGAAAATGGCAAGATGAAGGTGCGTACGACGTTTCGAGTATCTGTCAAAATAACTCTCGAGTGGAAGATGGTTTGCGAATTTGAAGATCGCTCCATCTTTGCACAAAACACACTTCACCAGCACGATAACGTCCACCGTGGTATGCAGGATAAACCGAACGGGAAATGCGGGATTAATGATCCTTTTGACCAGAGTAAAGCCGGGGAGACACTGTATGAACAAAGCAGCGTACGTAAGCTGAACCATAATCTTGAACGGTCCGCAGCAGAAAGAATCAAGCAACTAGCCCTTTGATCAATTGGCGATGCTCGGAAAGATGCAACGAAACAGAATCTTAGTAAGTCGGTGACGAGTGGACGCGACGTGTTGGGTACACTTATTGAGTTGCACTGTCCACTGAACGAGTCAAAGTATTTGCGCCACGCACAACTTGCAAATGGCGCAGATAACGACCCAAAATCGTTGCGCGTATCCCACTTGTCCTCCGTTTTATTTTCCCATGTGCTCACGACCACAGTGTTCGTCGAGCGTTTTCACGTGTCGATCGCGCACGTCCAAAAGATTGTCGTCCATAGCACAAAGTCCGTTGCGTTGGCAATCGAAATTTTCAGTCAGAACATTCGGCAGACTGACGCGACGGTCCTGTTTGGCACAGAAGACTCGATGTAGTGTCGGGTGGCACAACGAGTAACGTCGAACGTCGGCGGTCGAACGCAAAGACGTGAGCGCGAGCGCGATCTTGTGGTCGGCACATCTGTTTCCAGATGGCTTTGCGCTTATCGGCGCTCGGACACGCAAGTGATGCACAACTCGTTTCCACGACAGATTCTCGCACGCGTACCAGGCAGTGACGTGGCTGTTTGCACCGTCGCTACGCCAACGGGTTCCAGGATGGACACTATGTGGCTGCAGAAGCACTAACACAGCTGCACATGTGAACGTGGCAGTTTGACATGGAATGATCGAACGTGGTAGATATCGCGCGCACTTTAGCAAGAGTACAAGAACTTGAACAGCAAATATAGAGTGTGTTTCGACGGCGTTGATGCGAATGTATGCACACGCACGATTGTACCCACAAGACTGCTGCATCATCGGCAGGCCGCTTCGAGCGACTCGTCGACGTGGCGGCCTGGTTTTCATTCAGGTCAGGTTGACCCGTCAAAAAACCGTCGCGGGTAGATTCGATAGCCGAAATATGCATTGTGGTTCTTTTGGCTGTTGCTGCGGTCAAAGCAGGTATTCTCCCTGCGTGGAGGTGGTGATTTGAGTCCAGATCTCCCCCTTTTCCACATGCTTTGGCCGTAAAACCGCTCACCGACGCTGTGGTCGCATGGCTGCTGGGGGTTTCGTTGGTATCTGCGGGAATCTCTGTGCATCTTGCCCGTCACGCCATCCTTTGGGATTCGCATGCCAGCACTGTAGCTGCCTTCTTCCAACTCAGGGGGAGTTTCATCATGTGCAGCAGAGCAAAGCGTCTGACAGGCTAGATCGTGCATTTGATAGCGAGGGGACCAATGGTCACGAACGTTTGCTTGCAGTCAATAGAAAGTTGCACAAGTGCTTGCCACTGTCGCCAATCACTTCGACGGGATGCCCGCGTATTCGTGTTCTCAGTTCGCAGCTGCGTTCACCACGCGTCAACGTTACGTGTCTCTGTTGCAAGCAATGCAAACGTACGACACTGCGATCGGTTACTCGCGCGGTTGGGCTAAATGATCGCGTCAGACACATTGCGCAGCAAAGAGTGGGTTGGTGTACAATGAACTTGCAGCAAGCAGACTACATCGATTTGTCTGCTTTGTATTGCTGTGCTTTCGACTGCTGGCGGCACCATTGCGCCTATTTCTGGATCTGCCCTGTACGAACGAACGTTACTGGATGTGACCGTCACCGCCGCGACATTTCCGTGACGCAAGAGACTTGTCCGCCGTGAAGCCTCTAAATAGGCCGCAACTGTGGGGATCAGCAGCAGCAATTGTGAACACGAACAAAAAGGGCAGCAGTAAAGACAAGCACCTTTGCTTCGCCCCCCCCTGTCGACGATCGTATTGTCGCACACAAATGGCCATTCCCGAACCGACTTTCAGCTGACGAGTGTAGCGTAGCGAGTCCAAGCGGCCCTTTTCTTGGGAACGTGCCTCATTGTCCCATTGTGCAGGAACGACAAATCTGCAGGCCACATCGAGCACACCACCACCCGACCTCTTTGACGATCAAAAGAGGAGGACATAACGTGCTCGAGACGATATGTGCTTGGCGAACACGCGCTGTCGGTCGAGCACGTACTGATACGGGCTGTGCTGCCTCGTCGTACCCCGTGCGCTGACCACATACTTGACGTTCATCGACGCTCGCTCTGCCCTCGTCTGCCCTGTTTTTCGAACGCAGTGCCGGAAGTTCGTGTGTGTGTGTGCGTGTGCGTCGTGCGCTTTTTCCACCACACGCACTATCTCGTTGCAGCCGTTTTGCGGCTCTTTTCTTTGCTCCCATTCTTTCGGGTCCTTGCGAATCAAAATCAAAGAAACGCACCACTCGACGAGTCGCTTTCCTTGTGTTCGCGCTCGGAACCGCACCAAAGCGCGGGCCGCAAAAAGAGCCAGTGCTGCTCAGAACCACGAGGACAATCCATACGCGGCCCAAGTTGCGCTCGAACTCGAGGCCGAAACGGTTGCGCCGGATTGTCTCTGCGGGCTTTTTCACTGGCTATCGCCCAAATTGTGTGTGTGTGCCCAACCCACCCGCCCGCCCGCCGGCCGCCCACTTGCTCTTTTGTCGGCGACTCCTCTGGGAACGAGCGAGAGGGGAAAAAAGAGCCACGAGTCGGATCACTAGCTAGAAACACCCCATCGCTCGAGGCCACAACCGCAAAAGCCGCTGCCTGCAGAGCGCAGACCCTCTCGCTTTCGGTCTCTTTGTGCCTCTCGAGTCGCTCACACACAGCCACAGCTACACACGCACGCACGCACGCACGCACACGTGGGCGCCCCCTCAGTCGATTGAGGACCGCGTAGCACACTCACTCGTCTCTGTGTAGTCGACAGACGCACTACATCTGCGCAGCTCTGTATAGTCGTCACCTCGTTGTCGTACAATGGAAAAAGGCGTAGGCGTTTGGCTCCGTGACCAGGAGACGGACGAGTGGCACCGTGCGACGGTCGTCCAGCTCGGCGAGCCACAGGACGGGTCGGGTCATCGCCAAGTGACGCTGCGCGCGAGCGAGGGGCCGCACGCCAAGACGGACAAGACGATGGTGATGGACGTGCACGCGCTCGAGAACGAAGAGGTGGAGGGCGTGCTGCTTGCCAACAGCAGCGACATGGTGCGTGACGAGTGACGGTGCTGTGTGTGTGTTTGTGTGTGCATGCGTGTGGGGAGGGGCGTTTGCCTCGCTGACGCCACGCAATGAACTGACCAACGGGTGTGGTGGTGTTTCCTTTCCTTTTTCTTTTGGTGTTGACAGGACGTTGTCGAAGATTTGATCCAGCTGCCGCACCTTCATGAGCCAGGAATATGCCACACGCTGGGCGAGCGGTTCAAGATCAATGAGATTTACACGCTCACGGGCGAGATCTTGCTCGCGATCAACCCGTTCCAGCATCTTGGCATTTACACGGACAAGATCACGCGCAAGTATATCCGTAACGGAGACAAGCGCGTGCTGGGGCAAGAAGTGCCCGACATGCCACCGCACGTCTACAGCATTGCTGATAAGGCTTACCGCTCGCTGATGAGTCCGATTGGGCACGGGGCGCGTGGAAGCGCTGCGAATCAGTCGATTCTCGTCAGCGGGGAGAGTGGAGCTGGTAAGACGGAGACCACCAAGTTTGTCATGAACTACCTTGCGACCATATCGCAACACAAGAGCACGTCTGCAGAAAGCAGCGTCATGAAGCAGGTTCTGTCGTCGAATCCGATTCTGGAGTCGTTTGGAAACGCGCGCACGATTCGCAACGACAATAGCAGTCGTTTCGGAAAGTTTATCAAGATGGAGTTTTCGACCGAGGGAAGTCTTGTGGGCGCTTCAATCCAGACGTATTTGCTCGAGAAAGTGCGTTTGGCTTACCAAGCCGAGTCGGAACGGAACTACCACATTTTCTATGAGATTATTGCTGGTGCTACTGCGGAGGAGAAGAAGAGATGGAACCTGAAAGCATTGACCACATTTCATTACTTGAACCAAAGCACGTGCGTTAAGCGAAAGGATGGCGTCAACGATGCGGATCAGTTTGTAGTGTTGAAGGCCGCTATGCAGACGATGGGCTTCAACGAGGACGATATGGAGAGCATCTTCGTCACTATTTCAGCCCTGCTGCACATTGGCAACTTGGAGTTTGACGAGATACATCAAGCCTCCGGCACGGAGGGTTCAGAGATTTCGAACACGTGTGTCGACTCGATGCAGGTGGTACTCGACTACTTGGAGACCGACAAGCAAGGTCTTGAGCAGGCAATATGCAATCGCAATATCCAAACAAAGGACGAACATTACTCGATCGGTTTGCTGCCAAGTGCTGCTGAGAACGTTCGTGACGCTCTTGCTCGCTTCTTATACGGAAAGCTGTTTGACTGGCTTGTCTGCCGTATCAATGATACCGTGGAAAATGAGACCCGTGGTGTCCCGTTTATCGGTCTTTTGGACATTTTCGGTTTTGAAGACTTGGAGCACAACTCGTTTGAGCAGTTGTGCATTAATTATGCGAACGAGACTCTACAGCAGCACTTTAATTTAACTGTGCTCCGAATGGAGCAAGAGACGTACGAGAAGGAGGAGATTCAGTGGAGCTTTATCAACTTTCCAGACAACGGTCCATGCATCGACTTGATTCAGAGCAAGCCGTTTGGCATTCTTCCGGCTCTTGACGAAGAGTGCATTGTTCCGCAGGGCAACGATCAGAACTTTTCACGAAAGCTGTATCGCCAACACGGTCAAAATCCTCACTTTAGTGCGAGCAAGACGGAAATGGCCAACCATTTGTTTGTCGTGCACCATTACGCAGGCGCAGTTACGTATGATACGTTTGGGTTCTGCGAGAAGAACAAGGACATTTTGTACCCTGAGATTACCGCTATCATTGAGCGATCGTCGAAGCCTTTTGTGCGTGGACTTTTGCAGGTTTCTGCCGAGACCAAGGTATCGGTTCGGAAGCCAAAAGGCAGGGCCTCGAGCAATGCCACCCGTGTGAGTTTGGGGTTGCAGTTTCGAAATCAGCTGAAGACGCTGCTGGAAACGATCAATGTCACGGACTGTCACTACGTGCGCTGTCTGAAGCCGAACGATAAGGCCGAGGCCAACTTGTTGATGCCGAAGCGTGTGTGTGATCAACTAAAGGCTGGTGGTGTGCTAGAAGCTGTGCGCGTCAACCGTGCTGGTTATCCTGTCCGCATTGCCCACCAGCAGTTTATCAAGCGTTACCGTCCGCTGGCAAATGGTGAGTATTTGCAACGCATTCCAGCTGAATCAGCTGAAGAAGTCTTTGATAGCAACGATCGAAAGGAAGCCGCAAGTCTGTTGGTGGAGTTTTTGCTGAAGGCTCATGCCGGACGGTACCCGGAGCTCGCAGGTGCGCCGTCGGCGAACAAACAGGAGACGGCTGTCACGGGCATTCAAGTCGGTCTTACCCGTGTGTTCTTTCGCCGTTCGGCCATTCAGTTTGTGGAGGCTCAATTGGCCAAACGTTATGGTGAATTTGTGGTGCTCATTCAGGCTGCTGTCCGCGGCCTGATCGCCCGACGCCACTATGCTCGCATGCAGGTGTCGGCTGTTGTCGTGCAAAAGGTGATCCGTGGGTTCAATACTCGTTGCCGATTCTACGTGCTGCGAGAAAACCATCGTAAAAAGCAGGCTGAGATATTGCGTCAGAAGATGCTTGCAGAGAAGATGCTTGCAGAGAAGACGCTTGCAGAAAAGATGCTTGCAGAGAAGAAGAAGCGCGAAGAAGAACGGCGGGCTAGTGAAGAGCAGCGTTTGATCGACAAGAATCGCAAGGCTGCTGAGCTGGAGGAGCAGAACCGTCTCACTGCTCAATCGGCGTCATCTGATCCAGTGTCGGATGATTCGTCGGAAGGAGACCGCGGTTCATCCATGAAAGTCCCCAGTTATTCCGGAGGCTTGAACGAGGGACTTGGCAATCGCACGGTATCTCGTTTCCGCTTTACAAAGGATTACACTGACGACGACCAGTTGATGCCAAACACCTCCCGACAAGTGGCAATGGACCCGGGCGACACTGTGCTGCACGTGGCTGCAAACTGCTGCAATGAGCAAGATGTGTTGAAGCTGCTCCAGAATGGATCCGACATCAACGCATGCAACCGTCGAGGGCGTACTCCGTTGCACACTGCGTCGCTTTATCAGAACGTTGAAGTCGTCGGCATCCTTCTGGACTGGGGTGCTGACCATATTGTTCAGGATAACGATGGCAACACGCCTTTGCATTTGACCAAGGAGCCTCGTATTGCTCGAATGCTACTGGAAGCTGGTTGTACGCCCAACATTGTGAACGCGGACGGCCGGACTGCCCTGATTGATGCCGTGGACCGTGGTGACGCTAAGACTGTAAAACTGCTGCTGCACTTCAAGGCGGACGTGTTGTTCCGAGAGCTGAAGCACCATCAGACAGCACTACACTTGGCAGTCCGGAAGGGTCACTACCAAATTGTGATGGAATTGTGCAAGTCTGACGACATCCAGGATTTGATTCTTTTGACGGATCGCAATGACAACAACGCGCTGCATTTTGCCGTCTCCCGCGATCGTAAGAATGGATACCGCCTTGTAGATTACTTGATCAAGCATGGCGGTGAGGTCGACAAGGTGAATGCCCGTTTCCAGACTCCGTTGGTGGTTCACATTATGACAACTCGTCAGACTGACTCGGCTATCACAGAACTGTTTCTCGTGAGAGGAGCCGACGCAAACGTTCACCTGGCCGATGGGTCCACGCTTCTCCACGTCGCCGTGGAGCGTGAGCTGATTGATATTGCTTGTGTGCTGATAAAGTTTGGTGGATCGCTGAACGCGCCTGACGCCAAGGGGCGAATGGTGATTGAGGTGGCGAACAAAAAGTATTTGAAGAAACTATTTAGCGCGGTCACGCAACCTCCCACGTGGATCGACGAGAAGGAGCGTCGGTCGTGCATGCTCTGTGGATCTAACTTTAAGTTCGGCAATCGTCGTCACCACTGCCGGCACTGCGGGCGGGTATGCTGCTCTGACTGCTCGGCATTTACGGTGGAAATGCACCGGTTTCCGAAGGAGTTCCCTGGACGCACGACTAGTGGCGGCAAGCAGGTAAAAGACCCACAGCGCGTGTGCCGTACTTGCCATGCCGTGTTTAAGATGCGAAGCGCTCAGAAGGAGTCCAAATCAGGCTTTATGGCGCGCGTGCTCGGGTACGAGTGGGACGAGATTACTGCGACGAATTGAGCACTATCGCGTGAGAAGAGAGCGGGTATTGCGACGAGACGAAGGGGAGATCTGATGTGTCAGGGGTGAGCAAAGCGGCCATGGGCTGGACAATGCAGACGAGCGTGAGTAGCGCCTTTCATTACCTATCTATCTAGCGGTAACATTCGAGTAGCGCGAACGAAATACATCGCCAAATAACGAATAACAGTATACGCAAAGAAGCGCTTCTCGTAGTCACGCTTGCATACTTTCGTGCTTCTGCGCGCACTAGAAAGCTGGTAAAATTATTGTAGTAACATCACGCGAAGTCTCATCCAGCCAGGTCTGTATGCCAGCGACATGGTCGGGTTGTCCAATCTGTGCCACAAACGACCGACACTGAAGCAGACAGATATTTGTCTGCTTCAGTGTGATATGCCCTGCATGATGCAGCAGTTGACGTCCGCGTCGATTTTCATGACCTACTAGCACAAAGCACATCACCGGTCATCGAAGATGCAAGAAACAAAACGGTTTGCGCTCACCACACGTCCCTCTTTCGACCGCTGGTATGGAGTTGTTCTGTGTGACATTCGCTGGCTGGCTGCTAAGCGTATGTGTGTCACACCGATGAATCGTTCTTGGATACTACCACAGTCAGATCGCAGACGAGCATGTCTCGCATGTCGAATGTTAGCATACGCGGTGGTTAACAACGGATGTGGCATGCCCATCAGAGCCAATTGTGAAATGACAATACGCTGCGGATCATGGACACCCCACCCCATGCGTCTGACTCGCTCGCGTCGATCGTCATCGCACAAACAGGAGCAAGCGCCAGATAGTTTAAGATTTGCTTCTGAGTGTCATCGCATAGCATAGTTGTCCGTCGTTCGTAGTCGACTCATGCAGGCTGCCCGAAGTGCTACCGTGCGACAGGAACAGATATGCCAAGAAAATAGTGCAAGCTATTGGCACTAGCACGGCACGTCGCTCGTGCCCACACTTGGGGAGGCCTGTAAGGCACTCGCTTTGCGCTCTCGTACGACGATTTCCACAAACAGCTCATCGCACCTACGACTTTCTGGATCTGCTGCCGCCAACTGAGCGCGTTTGTCTCCAATGACGTGTCATCTCATCACAGGGTCTGGACAGAGCAACGTCCAGACGTACGTGTAAAGTTTATTGACAGAGCAGGAAAGAAGCTCTCTTTCTAGTTTGCACCTGTCTCGTGTCAACCCCGAAGCATCGATTGGTATTTCTTTGTCCGGCTGTCCCCTGTATGGATTAGCGATCCTTCTTTGGCTCGATCGCCTTCTCGTCTGCGGCCTTCGACTCCTCCAACCAGCGGTGACGCACCACGAGACTCCAGACGAAGCAGGGAACAAACGGCACGAGAACGACGTAAAACCCCTCGAGTTGCGAGGAGTAGAGATGAGCTACCAGTAGCAGAGAACAGAGTGCAACGAAGAAGGCGTACACGCCAGCAATGAAGTTGTAGTTGATGGTCGGTGATGGCGTGAATAGCTCCATGTTGATTCAGATTGAGTTGGCACAAAGTGTCCGCGTTTGGCTCGTTTGGGATCGAATCTGAGCTGTGGCTGTGAAATTGGCGAGGGAATATCAATAGGTGGTACAAAAATGGCAAATAGTTGATTAAATATGGGAGTCGATATTCACCACTCACTTTTCGCTAACCACCACTCACCCTCCATTGAAAAGAATTGTGATTGGCTATTCAAGTTATTATTATTGAACACACAACTACTGCCCTGGCTCGCGTTTCAAGGAGAACGCTCTTCAAATACACATACTTCGACATTTAAATACCACTCACAACAGCATGGATCGCTACCAAGAATTAACCACAATCACCTATGCTAGTCTGGATAATGCGCGTGCTGCTCTAAAATCACTTTTGCTGATAAAACCTACGTTGTGACTGTTCTGCATACTTGGCGAGTTAAAAAAAGAAAGGAGGCGACATCAAAGCGTTTACTTTGCAGTGTACATGCACACCAAAAGCGGCAGCAAGCTGCGCATTTAATCAACACATGCGTGTTCGATCCCGACGCGGGACAGGCTGTATGTTTAAATGTGCTCTTCGACATGTTAGACACGAAGCTCACTGGTCAATTCAAGTTGTCATCTACGATCATAGTCACGACAATTTACAGACCCTGCGTTCATCCGCAAAGACACACGCTGACAGAAGAGCAACGCAAAGAAGCAATATAAATTGTTGCTAATCACAGAAACCTGTCCGAATAGTAGCCGCAATGTGCCGTCGCGGACTTAAAATTAACCCCTAAATGCTTACACTATCAAGCAAGTAAATCGAATGCGCATCATAGCTGGTCGTTGTCCGCTTGTTGGTCTACTTGATGGCCTTGAAGACCGCCCTAGTGCACCTAATTTGGCAAATGCGGTGCTCAAACGAGAATTGACGAACCTACAAATGATTTCCCCTGCCGCCAAAAAAAATTGCCGCCGATTTAGCGCTAACAGTGCTTGGTTGATCGAACCAAATTCCAATATCAACCGTTTTAGAATGCCTTAGATGCACTTTGTGTGAGTCACAGCCACGCATCGAACATTTACCTTTGCGTACAATTTTGTGGCTGAGGCACGTGCGAAAGGATTTCCGGACGTTACGGCATAAACAGCAGGTTTTGCTGCATTTTTAATGGTACCATTGACGTTTGTCACTGATCGTGATATGATCTTGATGAATGCTTTGTCGACTCAATTGTTGTAAGACGGCAACGTCAAAATTGTTTTGTGCTGGTGTCACATCAGCAAAAATATATTTGCCCGGAAGCGAAAGACCGTTGCAAGCTTTGCAGTTTCAACTATCGCGAAGAGCACTAAATCCGTTTGGTGAGATCGAAAACGGCAGTTGGGTACAACCGAAAATTAACTGGGATGAGAAAAAAATCGCCATTTGATGGCTTGTCTTGAAGAGACTTGACTGCTGTGCAAGGACGGATTTGTAGCAGCGTCTATGCGTGGTACGCTGCATTTCGTTTGTACAACAACTTTGATCATTTAAAGCGCGCCTACAGCAGTCACGTCTGAATTGATGTGTCTACGGTGAATGCTGAAATTCTAACTTTTTGCCAGCTAGCTCGTGATAAAAATCTTGCAAATACTAGAATGCAAACAGGTCGAGAACGAGCGTCAATAAGTCTTGGCTACGGATCGGTCTTTTCTTCCTTTACCAGCAAGTTCTTAGCTGTAGCATTGGAGATATCGGTAAATAGCACAAACTAAGACTCAGTACATCTCCAGAAGAGTTATGAAATTACGATGTGGAATACCACGGTATGTTTACTTCAAAATTTTGGAATGCCGTGCTGGCTCGAGTTTATTCGACTAGCATCAGCAGCAGAAACTACATCTGACAGACTACCATATGAGCTAAGCCTCGAGATTTTATATCACACTGGTAGTTGATGCAGCCTCCCCAACAAGAAGTTATTCATTAGCATAACATCAGTTGTGAAATTAATAAAAGGCATCCAACGAGACGTTTAATTTGAAATTTTTCCCAGAAATCAAGTTAGTATTGACCATCTAGAGATGTCACCGGAAGCAAAGATCTTCAATACATCGATCCGGTATAGCCGCGGGCGTCCTGTTAATGCTCCTGCGAATAAACTGCTACAAAATCGCAGAGTTCTACTCAGTGGGAATTATCGCACGTTAAAGTCATGGAGAATTCTTTGCAGCCTTTACGTTTATGCGGGAACTGTAGAGCAGCAGGACACAGCATTATAATATGTCGGTAGCCTCTTAGCTCCGCAGCAACTGCTGTGGTAGCTTTTAAGCTCATAATGATAAGGACGAATGAAAGCACTTTAAAAAATACGTAAAAGCAAATGATTAGTAGTGGGATATGGACGTGCTTTCGAAAAGCCAACCATATTATAACAAAAACTAAAAATCTGTTTGATACATAGCTACTTCTTAACTTATTAATGATCTCGCGTTATCCTTGCAGCTATTTACTTTCTTTTTATTGCTTAACATTTAGCCAAGTTACGGCGAAAGAGAGTATATAGGGTATTTATTAATGGAGGGTGGTCAGCAAAAAGCGAGTATATAGGGTATTTATTAATGGAGGGTGGTAAGCGAAAAGCGAGTATTGAATAGCGGCTTTCTTAGAAACAAAAAAACATTAAAATCAATAGGCTTTACTAATGACACACCTTAAAAATTAATATTTTATAAAGAGATAGGTGATGAAAAAAGGAATTAATAGGATTACGTTTATACTAAAGGAGTCACATAATAATTAATGCAAGAAGTAGAAGCGTTATAAATATGAGAAATCACCTATAGTTACATAAATATGTTCGTCGTACGCACTTGTGCGAGAGATGTAGGAAGTAAAAGTATATAATTGAGTGTTAAGATCTACCTCCTTCAAACCTGCGATATGCATGATCAGAAAGAGAAACTACAACTTGACCATGTCGAGTCACATATTGTGTCCGTCTCTTCCTGTCCCATGTGACATCCTGTCACAAGAAGTCCGCCTCTCAAAGTCCCAAGTGTCCAGCTGTTGCCCTGTCTCACCCGTCCCATTTGGTCGATTCGTCCCGTCGTGGTCCCACATGTAACGTCGTGCGGTATTCAGCCAATCAGGTGACACCGTCCCATAGTATAGCACTTGAACATTAAAACCTGTCAAACACGATAGTAATAAACTCTTATGGCTACGTAAATCATTCTGTACGTTACCTGGGCTTACTTTTAAAGGGGCCATAAAGCCGTTTGGATATCCTGGACGCATCAACATCTGGCTACAAAAATTATCCCTCTTCAATATTTGGTGAATGTTTAAATTATCTGTTAGGCTTGAATAGTCTGGCAAATTATGAAAGGTAAGGATCAAGGTGCTTTAAACACAAACAGGTATGTTGTCTCGGATGTATCAGGACTTTGTTTATGAATGAATAGGGTCATAACATGAAGTATCACACTCAATGTATCGTTGTTCAGATGAAAACTTAGAAGAAAGGTAGCGAAAGCTA